TTTTTGAAAAATTCCGAAAATATTGTAAAAATTGTTTGACCACTATCGGACTAGGCTTAAAATTTTCATAAAAGGAAGTAGTTTTTTAAACAAAATTTTGAAAAAAATCGATCAGTACGTTAATTGAGAAAAATGACTTTTTATCTTTAAAACTTAAAAATTTGATAGTAATATCATTTGAAAAAAATTTTCGATTTTTTTTTTGAAAAGTACATTTAAAAACTGACATTTTGAAAATAAAACTTTTAAAATTAATTGCATTTTTATAGAAGTTATGAGCATTCAAAAATTAAAAGTCATTAAAATTCTGAAATTTTGAATAATTCACATCTCGAAAACGGTTTGCTAAAAAAATTTGAAAAAAATCATGAAAGCTAGTTTAGTTTCAATTAGTACTAAAAGAAAAAAAAGTTTAAAAAAAATCGGAGATATAATTGCAGATGGTCTTTGAATTTGGCGTGGAATACGTCATATATTTATAAATATTAACTGTTATATGCATTATTTTTATATTTTATTTTCACACATTAATAATTGTTTTTTCCGTCAGACGTGTAAAAAAAAATATATCCCCATTTTTTCCTATATATTTATCGAGAAATGAATATAGAAAAAACTTGTATTGAAATGTATATGATACAATAATATTAACTCTTCGCGCGCGCGGTAAGTGGAAAATACGTTGGTGATTTGAATGCTGGGAATTACTATCGGTTATTTATTTAATTTCAGTTTTACTTTTTCCTATAAAGATGAATATATTTTAGAAAAAGTGAAGGATATTTTTAATGTATATATATATATTTATTTTTGTTTAATGTTTCCATTTTTGACTATACATCTGTCTATGATCCAGGTGTGATTGACCTTTCAGGAAGACGGACTATAAACCTCGAGTTACCAAAAGTCCTTGATGTGTTGAATTTAAAAAAAGTTGAATTGAATTTTTTCCACTAACAAAAAATAAAAGGAAAAAAAAGGAGGAGAAATATTATGTAATATATTCCAGCTCCTTTGGGGCATATGAGAATTTAAAAAAAAAGTAAAAGGATTAAAAATGTATTAAGTAATCGTTTTAAGATAATATTTACTTGATGCAATTTTTAAATATATTTTCACTTAAAATAAAAAATAAATAAATTAAATATGACAAAAAGGTTGAAATTTTATTTTACATATAATAAAAAATGTTATTGTATAGTATTTATACAAAAATAACTATGTTTCACTACTACAAATATAAATATTTACATATGTAGGTATGTGCAAAATTATCACCATTTCAGCGAATATTTTTTATGGGAAAATTGTAACGTTTGAAAAAAGCGACTTTATTTGAAATATTTCAAAAAAAAGTGCGCTCAATATTGCTATATCATAATTTAAACATTTTTTCATCTTTTCAAATCCTTTCAATGTTAAAAAATGACAAATTACTTTTTTCTTTTTGACAATTTTGCTTTTAAAATAAAATTTTCAACTTTAAAGGAAAATATATTTTTGTTTTTAGTGGCTATTGGAAAAAGAATTGTCCACTTAAAATGAGATTACTTTTTTTGGCTTTGAAATATAACACTGCGGAAAATTTGATTCTTAAACTCAATTTTTTTTCTAGTATAGAATGTAAAAACTAAAATATTTCAAAATTAAATATATATCGATAAAAATTGAATGTACCGTATACCGGGGCTATTAAAGGAAAAATCGCTTTTTTTTTTGTTCTATTCTTAAGACAAAAAAAAACTTCAAATTTGACCAATCATTAAGAAAATTATGATTAGTCAAATTTGAAGTATCCGCCGAATTATTTCTGGCAAATTGATATTTGAACATTTTAATTTTCTGGACATTATAATATTTCAGATTATCACTGTATGGATTATTATTATTATTATTAAAAGAATTATTACTATTACTGAATTCTTTTAAGGTTATAATATTTTTTAAAAATTTTAAATTAACACATTTTAGATTAATTAAATAACTTAATAGGGTCCATAATTGTTTTTAAGTTGCTTTAAGGAGAGGCACCCATATGAAAGAGTTTCCGGAATTTTTCCAAAAGTAACTTTTCCGGAAACTTTCAACTGTTAAAATTTAAATTTGTCAAATATTTCGAGAAATTGAACTACATTTGATGAACATCTGCTATTTGGAAGTTCATGTCATTTATGGTAAATTTTTTCGAGTAAGCTGACAATATATTGTCAGAAAATAAATCAATAGCTATGTGATTTCTGGTTACCTTTTGCACACCATTTTGTAATAAATAATTACTTATTCGAATGGCGGTATTGGTTATTTAAAATTCGAATTTTCTTTTATTAAATTGTTTAAGCAAATTATTTTGCAGAAAGAAAAAATAGAGGTAAATTTTTTTTCATGCTATGAACTGAATAGTTAGTTTTAATTTTTTTTTTTGCAATTCTCAGAACATAGGCTAATTTTTTTTTTTTATTGCTAATTGTTTATAATTATTTATTGCAAAAAGGTGTGGAGGGATACAAAAAGTTGTAAAGAGAAAAGTTGCTTATTTTTACTCGTTCTATCAAATGGCAGCATTGGTTTTTATAAATCGATTTTTTTTTTAATTAAATTGTTTAAACAAATTATATAAACAAATTATTTTGCAAAAAGAAAATATAGTTGTATCTTTTTTTCGGTTATGCCATGGTTATGCTATGAATCCAAAAGTTAGTTTCATGTTAGAAACGCTGTGTAACCTATGGGCCTTAAAGGATTAAACAATTTAATAAAAAAAAATTCGAATTTTAAATAACCAATACCACCATTCGATAGTAATTATTTATTACAAAAAAGGTGTGCAAAAGATAAGCAGAAATCACATAGCTATTGATTTATTTTCTGATAATAATATATTGTCAGCTTACTCGAAAAAATTTACCATAAATGACATGAACTTTCAAATCTCCGATGTTCACCAAATGTATAGTTCAATTTCTCTCATGAGCACCACCCACCAATTTTGACTCACTTAAATTTAAATTATTAAACTATAGATTCTATTTTTTTCCTTGCATCATTTGGGTCCTAAAAACAAATAAGCACTGAAAAAAAAATTCTGGTTAGGCTATATTTAACATTACTTTCTAGTTATGTTAACCAGAATTCTAGTTGAATTAATTAGAATTCTCGTTAAAATAACCAGAATTCTGGTTAACCTAACCAGAATCAAAATGTTAAATATACCCTAACCAGAATTCTGTTTATTCTAACTAGAATTTTTTTTCAGTGAGGTGGTCAAAAAAAGGAAAATTTTAATTTCTGACCACCCAAGCAGCACGGTATATTCCCTGAATATCCGTTGAATACCACAGTGGAATATTCTCATGATCTACTAGGAAACTCAAAATGTCCGCATCATGCCCAGGTGAAACGATTCTACGGTAATAACTCCACGGAAATTCCTCGAAAATTCTATATGGAATTCCGCAAAATTTTGAAAGTATTCCTTTCGTAATTTTGCGAATTTGTTTGGAAGAATTCCATACAGAATTGCACAAAATTTTCAATAAAATTCCACAACTTTATTTTTTGCTGATTTTTTTGTGATTTTAACGGTAGTTGAATTTCTCGACTAATTTTTTTCAATGTATCCACCAGCAGTTATTTTAAAATTACAAAAAAATCAGTAAAAAATACATTCAATAAAAAAACTAGTAGATTTGACTACTTTTTAACTACCCTGCATAGTTCAATAGGTCCTTAACTGAATTTAAAAAGTTGTATGGACTATTAAAAAGTAGTTAAAAGAACTAAGAATTTAGTTGGGTCAAGGAGATTTTGTAATTGTTCTAATTTTTGAAGTTGATTTAACTACTTTTGTTAAGTACAATTAATTACTAATTTTTAACTCCATAAAAAATAGTTAAATTGACTACACGCACATAGTTAAAATAACCAAAAAAGTAGTTACTTTTACTACTTTCAAGTCAGTTAACTAAAGGTAGTTGAGGATTTCGGCTAAATTTTTTTCAGTGTACAGTTGTGAAATTCTAACAAAAATTTTGTGCAATTCTGTATAGAGATTATGTGTGTAATTCTTATAAAAAATTCGCAAAATTACAAAAGAATTTCTTTCAAAAATTTTGCGGAAATTTTTGCGGAATTCCGTATATAATTTTTACGGAATTCCCGTGGAGTAGTTTCCGTAGAATCGTTTCACCTGGGTGGGAATATTCCATAGTGACATTCAGGGTATATTCCAGTGACATTGAGGGAATATTCCACGGTTACAATGAATTTTTTTTTAAAATGTGTTTTTAATCTTCCATGCTGATTCAAATAACAATTTATAACGCACATTTCTATTATTTCAATACTTAAAAAAAAATTCAATATAACCGTAGAATATTCTCTCAATATCACTGGAATATTCCTTTAATATTACCCTCAATGTCACTGTGGAATATTCCCATGATGCGGACATTTTTATTTTCCTGGAAGATCATGGGAATATTCCACGGTGGTATTCAAGGGATATTCAGGGGATATACCGTGTGCTGCTTGGGCATTTTAGAATTTTTATTTTTTGAAAAAATTAATATTTTTGAAAATCCATGCGAGAAATTTTTTAAGCCTCATTAAAAAAAAAATGTGGAAAAAATTTGAAGATGAAAAATACTTAAAATCTAATTTCTAAAATTCTGCTAAATAAGAATTTGACAATTTTTAATTCGACACCACAAAAATTTTGATAGATATAATGTGGAGAATATTCATACATCCTTCACTTGGGTACCAAAATAGTCCCGGTTGACGATATTGAAAAATGAAATATATTTACAATTAAAATACACTTTTTTTGGTAATTTAAAAATTTTATTATTTTTATTTTTTAATTGTAAATTTTAAAAATCATCCCTATTTTTGTAGGGTTTTTTTTTTTTGCTTTTATTGTAATGTTAATCCCCCCACTAGGTGAATGTGGAATTTCCATATTGTACTCTAACCGGCATCCAAAGTTGCACAAGGCTTTGAATCTCTTTTGCTCTGATCGGGCAGTCGAGCCAGTTCTCAGTGGCTTCGTGTATAAGCCACAACTCTTTATTTTCTTTGCTCGCGTTGTCATCGGTCTTCTGTGGTCGTGTGGACCCTTTGGGAATTGCACAAATGACAGAATCTCAGTGTGGTCCACCTTTAATGTCAATATACTCAATATAATCTGTTGATTTTCAACAGATATTTTTATTTGTTTTATTTTATTTTTTTTTTAATTTTAATTTTAATTAAAATTGTGTGACGTTCTTCTATTTATAATAAAAAAAAAAAAGGTTTGTGTTTTAACTTTTGTGTTATGTTAATTTACTCGCAAATGGATGAAAATTCAGTGTCAAAGGATGCTTTATTGTGTTTGTTTTTAACAATTAAGTGCAAGTGTTATACATTTTAATGAGTTTTCCTAATTCTTCTTTGGAATACAGCTAATTAATTTTTCTACGTGAGTTTTTCTTTGCAATGTCGTATAAGAAAAGCGGAAACAATGATTTTGTTCTTTAATTTTTGTTACAATTTTTAACAAAAAAAAAATGACAAAAAAAAAAAAATTTTTCACTAATTCAATTTCAGATCGAAAGGAATTTTTTTCGAACCAAATATAATTTTTTGAATTAAATAAAAAATTACAATTAAAAAAATATAAATATATATTTATTTGTTTTAAATAAAAAATTTCTTTGATACAAATATATAATTTATTTAAAAAAAAGTAAATATTTATTTAACTCTGAGACATTTATATTTTTTCTCTTCAGGTAGAGAGAGATAGTAAATTTGTAACAATAAAATAATAATAATATGAATAACTATTTAAACAATAATAAAACAATTAAAAATTTTTTAAATTTATAATTATTATTTTAATTATAATTATAACTATATAATTATTTAATGTGATTATTACAAAAATATTTATAATAATTATAATTACTATAATAAATAATTTGTAAATTACTTATAATTAATGTATCGTTAATTATTTACAAATTGTTTAATGTAATTATAATGAGATATTTAATGTAATATGTAAATTATTAAAAGTTTTGATAAATTTATTTAAACAATATACATCACAAAATATTTTATTTATCGTTAAAAATGCAGATCTTTTAATTGATTCATTTACGAAAGTTTACAATAAAATCACGATTATTTATACAACTTTTTTTAAATAAAAATATGAGTCATGCAAACAATAAACTATATTAATTTTATCAGTTTTTTTATCAATAAAATTAAAAAAAAAGTATATTCGAAATATTTGAAACTAAAAAAATGAACTTTGCTCTTGTTTCTGACTAATGACTATTAGTCACTAGAAGTACATTAATTTTTCTTGTGGGACAATAGAATTTTTTAACAACAATCAATTTTCAAAATAACTTATAAATAATATTATTATTATTATTATTATTAAAATTATATTATTATTATTATTATTATTATTATTATTATTATTATTATTATTATTATTATTATTATTATTATTATTAATAACATGATATAATAAATATTGTATTATATAAAATAGGAACTTTTGCAGAATTTTGCAATTTTTTTATTTTCTTTAAAACAATTTTTTTTTTGAAATACATTCGTTAATTTAGAAATGCAGGTGAGTTTTTTTTTTTAAACGAACAAATTTTTTTGTCTTTAATTGTCGTTAAGAGCATTTGAACCTTCGTGACGTCACAAATCATGGCGCATGACACGCAAACTTCTCAGGTATGTGAAAAGCACAATTTTGAATATTTTTTAAAAAAACCTTTTGGAAAATGTTCAGAATAACATAGACTCTGTCTGTTATGTTCGGAAAATTCAAAATTTTGCGTTTAAAACGTTTTTTAAACAATGTTAAGGTCACAAATCATGGCGCATTACACGCAAACTTCTCAGGTATGTGAAAAACACAATTTTGAATATTTTTTAAAAAAACCTTTTGGAAAATGTTCAGAGAAACATAGACTATGTCTGTTATGTGCGAAAAATTCAAAATTTTGCGTATAAAACGTTTTTTAAACAATGTTTAAGTTGGTTGTCACAAGTAAGGAAAAATACACGAATTGCTTATATGTAGGCATTGTTTAAAAAACGTTTTAAACGCAAAATTTTGAATTTTTCGCACATAACAGACAGAGTCTGTGTTATTCGGAATATTTTCCAAAAGGTTTTTTTAAAAAATATTCAAAATTGTGTTTTTCACATACCTGAGAAGTTTGCGTGTCATGCGCCATGATTTGTGACCTTAACATTGTTTAAAAAACGTTTTAAACGCAAAATTTTCAATTTTCCGCACATAACAGACAGAGTCTATGTTATTCTGAACATTTTCCAAAAGGTTTTTTTAAAAAATATTCAAAATTGTGCTTTTCACATACCTGAGAAGTTTGCGTGTCATGCGCCATGATTTGTGATGTCACGAAGGTTCAAATGCTCTTAATGAAATAGTTTAGAATCGATATTGTAAATGTGAAAACAACCACGTGTTGATTGCGCAGAATAAAATAATTTTCTACTGCATGATTCTAGCCCGCAAGTTATATTATACCAGTAATATAAAAAGGTCATAAAACCCCGGTTTTATATATATATATATATATATATATATATATATATATATATATATATATATATATATATATATATATATATATATTATATAAAACATATAGACGATTAATTCCCATTTACGACTTAAATAATAATTATCATCGGTATCTGAATATTTTAATTTTTCAATTATCTTTTTCTTATTGCTTTTAAATTAGGTTTTTAACTATTTTAACTGTATAGACAAAAAAAAAAAAAATTTGTTTACTTAACTAGTTTTAATTGAGACGAGAAGGAAAAAAAATTCGTGATTCATCTCTTTTTTTTCATATATTACAAAAAATATAATTTAATTTTTTAAAAAAAGTTGTTTATAAAAAATAATAATTTTTTAATTAAACTAATTTTAAATGACGATTTATTGAAATTGTTTTACAAATTTTTTGTTTGTTAAAAATATATATTTAAATTAAAAATTTAAAAAAAAAATTTATTTTTGAAAATTATTGTAAATTAATTTCATTAATTAATTATGAATTATGAATTAAATTTTTCAAAAATAAAAAAGATATTTGTCTTTAAAAATTTGATATTATTCTTTGCGAAATTCAATATTATAAATTATATATAGAAACTTCGTATAGGTGGACCTTATGTTATATAATTTGAAACAAATTCTTTGATCAGAGTGATTAGAATGAGAAAATATTGCGCAATCTATAGACGTATTCATTATTGGCGTAATATTTGCCAGATTTTTTCCTTTCTTTCTTTTCTTTTTTTCCTTTTCTTTTTTTTTTTTTTTTTTGAAGTTACCTCATCGAGTCCGAGGTTGCCTTATGTAGACCACACAGAACAATAATAATTTATCCCAAGAAATATGTAGCGAAATAAATAAATACGTTTATGAATTTCGCTCACAGTTTTCATTTAGGCGATGTGATATTAATTTTAGGAAAAAAAATTTTATTCATTAAAATGAAAAAAGTGATTAAAAAAAAAAACATCTAGACAATTGAATATTTTTTAAAAAATGCGTAAAATTACCATTATGGGGTATTCCACGTGAGATTTTCATTTAAAATTTCTTTTTGACTGGAACATTTTTTTTTCGAAATTTTTGTGAAAAATAAGAAAATACGTGTTTTTTGATTTTTTTTATTTGATAAAAATTATGAAAGTTATGATTTTTTTAAGTTTAACGTCGTCAGTAGCCGAGTAATTTTGAAATGCATTTTTCTCTTCTATACTGACAGATAAAAAATAATATTTAAAATATTAAAGAAAAATCGAACAAATTTCACATTTATAATATTATTTGTTATATCTGTTAGAGCTTTAGAACAGAGGAAAACACATTTCAAAAGTACTCGGCCTCCGAAGGCGTTAGATTTAAAAAAAAAATGCTAACTTCCATAATTTTGATTAAATCAAAAAATAAAAAACTACGTATTTTCTTATTTTTTCATAAAAATTTCAAAAAAAAAAAATGTTCCAGTCAAAAAGAAATTTTGAATGAAAATCTCACGCGGAATTCCCCTTATATATAATTTTATAAAATTGTCACCTTTTGCATTTATTTATAAATATTAAAAAGAAATTTTTTTATTAAATTTATAATAAAGAATAAATAATGTAATAAATAATAAATGTAATGTAAAAAAAATTTCTTGTATACATTTTTCTACTATATGACATTGTAATGCCACGAAGGAAAAATATTATCTATTTTTCTCTATGCTTATAATAATTATGATAATCACGTTCACTATAAGAAATAACATTATATTCTTTTTTGAAAAGCATCCATCATAAAACAATTCTAATGAAATTATATTCTTCTTTTTTTTTATCGAATGAATTGATTTTAGTTAGCAATTCAGATGACGGCAAAAACAGATGAAAAAGTAAAGAGATATTTTATTTTCAATCTCACATTATAAAGACTGCATATTACGTGGAACTTGATAGAAAAAAAAAAAAAAAAAAAAAAAGAAAATTACAATACATCATGCAAATTTTTTTGGCTTTAATAATCCCAAGCCCTAAATTCCTACTATGACTGCACTCGTTTCATAAGCGAGATACGAATAAATAATCGAGCATTTAACTTTCCCAATATTTTTTCGTATATAATAATTTTCATTGCAACACAATTTAAGTTCACTTTTTTTTTTAAAACCATTAATTGAATATTTAATAAAATAATTATAATAAATCGTTAAAAATTAAATTTCATTTCCTTATAATAGTTTTTAATAAAGAGGCAATAAATTTTCTATTTCACCCGAATAAGAAATAATACTAAATTAATAAGAAATAAATATTAAGAAAAATTTTTATAAAAATAATAACAATGCTATAAATATAGTTATATAAATTATAAAAATAAAACAAAAATTTATTAAATAAAAATAATTATACATCTTTAAATAGTTATTAATGTTTATTATTAATTAGTTAATATACTAATAGTGATTAATAATAATTAATTAATCTTTTAATAATTATTAATTAATTAATTAATTAACTAATAATAATTAAAAACAAGAAGGGGTGGACATTTATATTACATAAATGTGATATGTTCATTTCACGAACATTTTGCTTCCTCGCAGAAAATATTTAATTTAATTTACATTAAAAAAAAAAAATTTTAATACTTTTAATTTAATTTATTTCAATTTTGATTTTGCATTTCCTGAAGAAGTTTTTGTTAATTCGAATTTATTTACATTTTGTTGACGTTAAAAATAACGATTAATTTTATCAAAAGGTAAAATATATAGATCAATCAATTAGTTTCTATGTAAGGAATGCAATTTGGCGTAAAATTTTTGAAAATTTTTATTAAGAAAAAAGAAAAAAAAGTTTTTTAACAAAAACAAAAAATAAATTTTTTTAAAAAAATAAAAATAATGATTTCATCTATAAATTTAGGTAAAATATGAACTTAATATAGGTTAAAAAATTCGTTTTAACGCAAAGAATACATTTTTTTAAAATAAATAAAGTGAAATTTTTATAATAAAAAGCTTTTTTATCAAAAAATGTATTTTTGACTTTTTGAAAAGAAAAGTCCGAAAAAAAATTGTGGGGATATTTTTGGAAATCCTTGTGTCCGATTTTTGGTATTAGTAAGTAGAATTAGCATACAAAATTTCAGGGCGTTCCGTCAACATTTGTTTGAGATAATTTGTACACAAGAAGCGGTGCCATACACACACATACATCCGGACATTTGTTCCTCATGTCGAAATATATCTATATTAGTTAAAAATGTATTAAAATAATTGATTTTAGGAAGTTCGAAAATTGTCATCACTATATAAAGCTTCCTACGAGAAAGCAATAAATAAAATAATTATGAACAAAATAAAGTTGATGGAAAAAAATCCAATTAAACAAAAATAAATCGTAATTATGGTGATAAATAATTAATTACATATTTTGAAATGAAAATTAATTAATTAGATAATTAAAATTGAATTGCATATTTGTTCATTAATTTATAATTAATTAGTTAATTAACAAAAGTTGCTGGTAATTTTATTTTATTTATTTTTTTTTATTGTTTCCTCGCCGATGTTTGGTCATCATTTCTTTCAAAATCAAACTTTCAATTTTCATTTTCCGGTGAGAAAGAGTATGAATCATTTTCTTATAATTCGCATCAAGTGAAACCTGAGTCTCCTTTTCCCGCGTTGAAATCACACACAAACTAACACATAAATGCAGTAATATTACGACATACGTGTTATACTTTTGATTTCTGTTTGTATAATTTTACTTGTTTATTATATTTAATTGTCACGCATTAATAAATATACAAATATAAATTACAAACACATATTTCTATTAATTTGACAATTTTTTTATCGGAAATTATTTAACAACAAAATTCGAGGAATTTGTTTTTTTTAAATCGAATATTAATATTATCTTTTATTTCGATATATATATATATTGAGATCAAGGAGATTTATATAAATGAGAAGAAATAACTTTCCTTTCGATCGATAAAGATTTCGTTCAGCTACATTTATTTCATCGTTTTCGGATTAAATTTACCTTTTAGTTATTCTTTACATAAATAATTTTATATTTTATACGCAGTACGTTTTGGATCCAATAACAAAATTATTAATAAATTTTTTTAGTTATTCTGAAAATAAAAATATAATAATTAAACATAATATTTTATTGTAATAAAAATTATATAATATTAATATAAAAATTTATTATATTCTTGAATTATATATACATATAAATTGATTTGAAACTTTCTGGTTTGAGTTAGTGAAAAAAATTAGTCAAGATCATTTTTAATAGAAAAAGATAATAATTAAGTATAAATTACAATTTTCATTAAAATTAATAAAGAAGAAATAATACTTTCTCATGGGACGACATGAATGAATGAATTTAATTTGTACAGATTATATAATATTGTGACTCAGTGTTAGAGAGAGTGGAATATACATATTATGTTGTTTTTTTTTAATTTTATCACAAATCAATAATAAAATATTATATAAATCTGTGACTAGATCTTTTACACAATCTGTGCGTATATAATAGATAATTTATGTAAAATAAGATACAATATTTTCTTTTGAAAATTTTTTTTTATATATTATACGAGAAGTTCAAGTGATCTTCAGGGTCAAGGTTATTTCTTAGTAAAAAAAAAGAAAAAAAACGCGTCCTTAGAAAAATATAAAAATAAATCATTCTCCATTGAACACAGTCAAAATTCTATTATATTAAGTTACTTCCGTTATTTGAACACCTTGAACACAATCTTTTATTTTCATTTGAGACAAATAAAATTTATTTGAATTAAATAAAAATATATTTATCTTTAAAGCCTAATATGCTAATAACTTTTTATTTGTTTTAAATAAAAAAGAAAATTTATTTAGCACAATAAAATTTTCATTTAAATCAAATAAAATTGAGACAAAATATATATCTTTTCTCATGGGTGTGTAAAAATTTAATTTTTTTCAACTTTTAAATTATCACTTAATTTTTAATATTTTTTATTGAATTATATTATTGAATTATTTTATTATATTATTTTATTAAAAAAAAATTCACTATTTTAATTTTCACGTATTTTTATTTCTTTGTTGAAAAATACAGAAATGGATCCATCAACAAATAGCCCGGTGACCTCAGTACCATCATTGGAACTGAAAACAAGGAGGGCTCAATTTCAAACTCAAGCTTCAACGGTTGATACGAGAAGAAGGCATGCGGTTTGTGTTCGTAGAGCTTTCAAGAAATATGGACCAAAAAAGAATCCAAACGTTATTTTGGATGGACTCAATATGACAGTACCAAAAGGAACCATGTTAGTATATAAATTTTATTTTATAAAAAAAAAAATTGTGCAATTTTTTAAAATCTATTTGTTGAATTAAAATTTTAATTTCTATAATAGGGCAAGTGCACCAATAATTGAGGTTCATAATTTTTTTTTTCAATTTTAATATAGAAGAAAATTTAAAAACAATAATTTCTAAATAATTTTTACATTTTCAACTCATGCTTATATACTCAACTAATTGTACTAAAATAATTATTCCTTTAAAATTATAATATATCCAAATTCGATAGATCGAATTGTACAATTTTGGAAAAAAATTATTTTGAGTTAAAATTTGTTGTTAAATAATAATTAATAAACATTTTGTATTTTTTCTTAAAAGTTAATAAACAATATTGTAATTTTTATTCAATTTTTATAAACAATAGCTCATTTTTCTCTTTGTAAGATTGTCTATATAATTCAGCTTTTGTGTTTTTAATAAATAATGGTTTGTTTAAAAAATATAAAAAGTAAAAATTTTATTTGTTTATTAAATTTTGAACAAAATATTTTTAATAATATTCAACAAACAGAATTTTTGTAGAAAATCTTTTAAAGAGCAAAATGAGTCATTGTTTGTAAGAATTGCATAAAAATTACAATAGTTCACTAACTTTTAAGAAAAAATACAAAATGTTTATTAATTATTATTTAACAATAAATTTTATCTTAAAATAATTTTTTTCCAAAATTGTACAATTAGAACTGTCGAATTTGGGTGTAATAAATTTTAAATGTATTTTTAGTTCTGTTAAAAACTATTTTTTAGTTTGAGTTTATGTTAATGGGTTGAACCTCCTTAAACACTTTAATTTTTTTTTTTTTTGGGACGCATGATATTATGTTCTAAAAATTATTAGTTAGAATTTTCATTTTATGGAATTTTATTTGTCGCATAATTATTTTTGAGCTGAATTTTTAATTGTTTCAATTAGTATTTTGCAGAATTTTCATCAAAACGATTTTTCATACTACAGAATTTTTACTTAACCGAAAAATCATTTAACAGAATTTCTAATTGATAGAATTTTCATTTGTCCGAAAATGCAAATGGCCGAACAAACAATCGACAGTAAGATTTCGGCGCGATTTTTAAAATCAACTAATCAAAAATTATCAGCATAAAATTGTGATTGGTTGATTTTAAAAATCGCACCGAAATCTTACTGTCGATTGTTTGTTCGGCTATTTGCAATTTCGGACAAATGAAAATTCTATCAATTATAGAAATTCTGTTAAATGATTTTTCGGTTAAGTAGAAATTCTGTACTATGAAAAATCGGTTATATGGAAATTATATCAATTGTTGAACTTCCATAAAACACTTAAAATTGAAATGAAAATAAGATTATTTACTTATAAGAAATTTGTAATATAAGTCGTTCACCTAAAAATTTGAAAATAAAATGGAAAATATAAATAGTTTATTTATTATACTTTATTTCAATTTGCATGATAATTAGTAAACAAATATCCAATTAAATAAAACTGTGATTGTAGTAGTTTTGAACTATATTTTATGTTGACAAAAATATTTAATTATAATTTGAGGTTATGTACGTGTATTTTTATCACTCTTTTTGTTTTCCAATAATTAATCAGAATTAAATTTATATAATATATTAAATTGCAGTTTAATCCATTATTTTCTAAAAATAATATAAAAAAATATCTATCAATTTGTCGACTTGCATTTGAAATTCGCGGCGAGTTGCTGCGCAAACGTGCCAAACACGTGTTGCGACGTTGCCACGTTTTCATGTCTTCTACACTTACTATTATTATTATGACAAAAAATCAAACTTTATTATTTATTTACCATGGACGTAAGAAGTAAATGGACCCAGCACGTTGTATGTTTGATAGACAAGGGGGGTAAAACCGATCTTCGGTGAAGGGTGAGGCATTGGTGGAAGTACGTTGATTGGCCGTTTAGTACGCTTGCGCCGGCGCGCGTAATTTAAAACGAATAACATAATTATAAAAAGTAACTTGTAATAAAATCCGTAAATTTCAATCTAAAAAAATATGTTTTTCAAAAAAGTGTCCATTAAATTAATTAATAACATTTTTCTGTAAATATTTAATATGAAACAGATATTTTCCAAATACAAAACAATATGCAATAAATAAAATATAACACGATATAATAATGTTATTAATAATACAAAATGAATTATAAAAAAATTAATAAAAATAAATTATGAATAGATACATTTAAAAGAAATATGATCAACTATTTCTATAAATAATGAAATTAATAATTAAAAAATGTCACATAAAAATTGTTAAAAACATAACCTGTACCGTGAACAAACAGAGAAACACGAGATAAATACTTACCTGTGATATGTCACATTTTTCTTATTTCCATTTGTTTTAATAGTCCGAGAATTTTCACACGTTTTAATAATGCATTTTTCATATTTTTTTACCATGTTTTACTTATTCTAAGATTATAATAGAATGCATAATTAAAACCGCTAGACACATTGTCAACAAACAATAGTCGATTTCCATTTTGCATCGTCTGCTATACACGACGCAATGTTCGACCAATCACAGAATTTCCACCAATTCATGCGCACTGAACAGTTCTCCTCTTACCTACATGAGTCCCCACCCCGCAACTTTGTGCTGGGTCCATTTACTTCTTACGTCCATGTTATTTACTCAAAAACTATGTGGTAAACATTCTTTATATTGTGCAGTTAATAAATATATCATATTTTCTTCATGTATACCAACTTTCAGATTTTTGTGTCATTTCCATCACACTTTTTTCCTATGGTTTATACACGTTCCCATAAGAGCCCATGTTAAATTGGTCATATATTTTATTTTTTTTTTCTAAAAAACTACGTGGTAAAAAATTCTGAAAAAAATCATAACTTCCTAAATCAATCTAATGAACAAACTGTCAAAATTTGGTGCCTATTATGTTAAATGAAAATTCGAGCAAATAAAAATTGGAACAAATAAAAATTCTGTGAAGTGAATTTTCGGTTATATAAAAATTGTGTTTAGAAAATCGTTTTGATGAACATTCTTCAAAATACTAATTCGCACAAATAAAAATTCGGCTTTCGTTAAAATAATTATAACAAATGAAATTCCATAAAATGAAAATTCTAACTAATAATTTTTAAAACATAATCATGCGCCCATTTTTTTTTTTAATAAAAATAAATGTAAACATTAAACTTTATTACATTTTTCGTCCAAATACCTATTATTAACGGTGAAATTCAAATTTTTAAGTACATTTATTTCAGAAAAAAAAATATAAATAAATTATCGACAATTGGTGCACTTTATCTATAAAAATAAATTCATTTGAATTAAAGAAATTAAATGTTTGAATGTATAAATTTTTTAATAAATAAATGTTGAATTAAAATAACAATTATTCTTTTTCTGTATAAAAAAAAAAAAAAATTTTTCAATTATTAATCAACTTTTTAAAATTCATCCATTTTCTAGATACGGTCTTTTAGGTGCAAGTGGCTGCGGTAAAACAACATTACTCTCATGCATTGTTGGTCGAAGACGTTTAAATTCGGGTGAAATCTGGGTGTTGGGAGGTAGACCCGGCTCAAAAGGCTCTGGAGTTCCAGGGCCACGAGTCGGTTATATGCCACAAGAAATTGCACTTTATGGGGAATTTTCCATAAGGGAAACATTTATCTACTTTGGCTGGATTGCTGGAATGACAACAGAGCAAGTCGATAGTAAATTAGATTTCTTATTAAAGGTATAATTTATTATTTTAATCAATATTTTCATATTTATTTATAATTATATAATTTATAAATCAGGAACAAAAAATAATTTAAATTATTGTTTTTGAAAAAAAAAAAAAATTTTTTTTTCTAAAAAGAAAAACAATTAGAAAAATTTGCTCTTTTTTTTGCCCTTGAAATTACTATTTTTAAATAGTATAATAATATTTTATTAAAATATGCATACAAAGTCGTTTCTTTGTCTTTTGAATAATAAATTGCAAATGAGATTAAGTTATTCTGAGGTCAGTGCACTTGAAGTTAAAAATTCATGGAAGAGTGCATATCAAGATCTTTCAAAAAGCTTACCTGCAGTCAACATTAACATTATAAGTACGAAAATTCCTCAAACAAACGACAAGCCTTCTTTTAGATGCGAGTTTATATCCTTTAAAGCGTTATATATATATATACTCAAGACCGGTTTTCAACTATAAAATTTAAAGAAGCCAACTTTTGGTTTCTCATTATAAAATGAAAAGAAAAACATTGTTCTCTTCTTTTTTTTTATTTTTTATGCCCGGATATATTGTAATGAGCATCATTCATAAATTAAATTCCACTTTTACATGACTCTCAAAGTAATGTATACTCATTTGTTAGAATGTAACATTTCTTTTTATCAGCATTTTTTATTTCATGAAATTAAATGCAAATTTTGTGCAAAAAAAAATAAAAATAAAAATTACTCACATCTTTATAAATACGATTTACGCCGAAAACTGAATTCATAAACAAAAAAAAAAACAATTAAGGAACATTTTTCTTATAATTCATTGGAACTTGAATGTTAAGTTTTTATTGCCTTTGCAATATCTACTCTATAACCCTGAAAAACTTTCCTTACGCGCGTTACAAAATAATTACAACATAGGAAATAACTTTCTATCTGAATTCATATAGTCTTGGAAATTCTGTTCTTTAGAAATATTTATATATTAAATTCATTAATGATTTTTTTTAACTGGCTTGATTTTTATTTTTGCTCGATTTTATAATTTTTATTTTTTGGCTCAAATTTTTTCTTTGAATCAAATTATATATTTTAAATCCAAATTATCCTTATCCGAAATTTTTTTAATACTCTATTTTTGACCAGAATGTAATATTAATAAAATTATCATCGAGTTTTCTTCAATTAAATCTCTTTTTTTATCTTTAAAATTTTTTAACTAGAATACCATTATTAAAAGAAAGTAGATTTAAATTGTTTTCTACTCAATACACTTTTGATTAAAATTTCTTTTTCCACAAAATTATTATATTTGTCTCCAAACTATTTTTTTTACAAAAAAAAAACAAAAAAAACAAAAATGATCAATTATTTTAAATAAGTTGATTTAACCGGAATTTTTTATTGTTTTTTGAACTGAAAAATTGTTTTTCATTCAAATTACCTTGAATTCAATTTATTTTTCGACTGAAATTACTTTCAATTCAAATTAAGACGTTTGACCTAAATTTTTTTTTTAACCGCATAATCATTCAAATTATTTCTTATACACAATTTATTATATCTTTAACCCAAAAAATGCTTGGAGCCAAATATAATTACAATTTTCATTTTCTTTTACCTGCAGCTTCTTTTTAAATTTAAATATTAAATTATAAAATAATATAAAATTTATATTTGTTCATATAAAATTATTATATATAGTTTTTGTTTGCAATTTCATTCACTTTTTTTTTTTATATAAAATAATGAATTTTAATTTTAAAAATAGAATTTCCATAACAATAATTTAGAGAAAAATTTGCTTTGAATTTTCTTTTTTTTTTTTTTTTTAGTTTTTGGAATTGCCCTCAGAGAGTCGTTTTGTAAAAAATCTTTCGGGCGGTCAACAAAGGCGAGTGTCATTTGCGGCAGCTTTATTGGCTGATCCTGAATTATTGATACTTGATGAACCAACAGTGGGTGTTGATCCTGTTCTTCGTAAAAGTATTTGGGATCATTTGGTACACATCACCAAGGATGGTAATAAAACAATTATAATAACGACACATTATATTGAAGAAACAAGACAAGCCGGTATTATTGGTCTCATGAGAGGTGGCAAATTTCTTGCCGAAGAATCGCCAAAAAGATTAATGGAAATGCACAGGCTGGATACATTGGAGGAAGTTTTTTTGAAATTAAGTAAACGTCAAAATATGGGTCTCAGACGAAGAAGTAGTATTCTCAGTAGCGTTACTGGTGTACTTCCAGAAGCCGTAAGAATTAAATTTCTTTTTTTCTTTAATAATTCTAATATATAATATATTTAATTTTAATTAATTATTAAGATTAATGATTAATAAAAAAAAAAAAAAAATTTATGAAAGTTTTTTTCAATATTTGTATCTAAAGATTTTAAATGAAAGAAAGTTTACTTTTTTTTAATTTTAAATTTTATTATAAAAAATTTTTTTGTATCCAAAAATAAATTAATAATTTATTAAATGTTTAATGTATTTTTTTTTATTTTTTAGTAATAATTAAAAAAAAAATTTATAGACCAAATAAAAAATTATTTTCTTCATTTAAACGTTCTGGACTTCAGGCACGTATATTAATGATAATTTAATTTGTAATTTTTAATTAATTAAAAAGTGACTAATATAAATGGTTGTAATAATTTTTAATAATGAGGTGCAAATTTTCAAAAGTCGATAAATCAATTTTTCAAAAAAAGTCTAAATAAATGCAGATTTAACATATTAAAGACCTAACTAATCGATCTATTACAGTTGAATTCAGGGATAAAATTTTATTAACAAAGAAATTTTAATTTAAATGCATCTTGGTTTAATCAAGATGATTTATAATTTTAATTCTTTTTACTAGAAAAAATTACCAAACTATAAAAATTCTCTAATTACGATAAACTTTAATTAAAAACAAAATGTCTTAAATCCAAAAAACATTTTTACACGGAAAAATAATAAATATCAAATTTTATAATTTTTTTCAAATCATGGAAAATGTGGTAAAATACGAAATTTCCATATAAGAAATACAAACTATTTTTTTTATAAAATTTACAATATTAAAATTTGGTAATACGTATTTGATTCATTACTAAATGTTACTTATTTATAATCCCGTATTAAATTTATCAAAGTTTTTCTAAAATTTAGAATTTCTTGTTTGGAAATTATATTATTCCATATTATATAATATGGAAATATTTTCCATATTTTACACGATTTGAAAATACTTTTATAAAATGTTATATTTATTTTATTTCCATGAATATATATATATATATATATATATATATATATATATATATATATATTATATAAATAATTTATTACAATTTTTCTTCCCAAAAATTAACATCTAGTTGCTTATGTGAGAAATGTCATTTGTTTAAATTTCTCAAAATATTAAAATATAGTTTTATCAATTTTTGAAAACTTACTTCTCATATATATTCAAATTTCTTTAAATAAGCATACATGTAAATTACATTTGTTTGAAAAAAATTCTATAATTAATTATTATTGAACACTTAATTTTAATTTTTATTTAATTTTAACCTACTTTATAAAAAAACAATTATATGAATTTTATTTTCAAATTTTTTCCTTTCTTCCAATAAGTAATTATATTACGATTTTCTTTTTCGATTGAAAATAAAATAATTATGTAAATATAATTACGAATAATTTACAGACACCAGATGATGAAATGAGCGGAGAATTTGGTGATAATGTCAGTATTTCTAGTCGCAGGAAAAGTATCGTCGTGACTGAAGAGCAAATTGTAAGAATAGTTATTTAGTTTATTTATATAGGATATAATTAGTAAAATTATTAATTTCAATTTTATAATATAAATAAATTAATATACCTATATGTATTTTCATAAATTATAAATTATAATTTGATTGAAATATTAAAAATTATTTCGTAAAATAAAATATTTCTTGAAATTAAGAAAAAAAAATTTTTTTTTTTAAACACTTAGGCAGCGGAACTTCCACCAGAGGAGGAAGGGAACTCTAGTTTCAAAATGCTCGATCCAAAACATATGAAAGCTTTAATATGGAAAAATTTTCTATGGATGTGGCGGAATGTAGGGTAAATATTTTAAAAATATATATATATATATATTGTTTATTATTTTAGAGAATAAACGATTCTTTAATAATTATTTAACAGTTTTTTATTTAAATATAAAATTTTCTGAAATTATGATTTTAGATTACCCGTTTATTACTATAAATAAATTTTTTATATTAGTGTCAGTATTTTTAATAATATATTTCAATTAATAATTAATAATTAATAATAAATAAATAATATTAATAATAGTAAAATAATAATAATAATAAATAATTTTAATGATAAATAAATTGAATCTAAAATAAATGAAATTAGGTAAAAGAATAATAAATTGAATGAATGAATTTATTATTTCAGAATAATGGCATTTATAATTGGTCTACCAGTTTTGCAAATAATTTTGTTCTGCGTTTCAATTGGTAAAGATCCGGTTGGTTTAACATTGGCAATTGTAAATAATGAATTAAATAACAGTATGGACAGATGCATTCCATCGGTGGGTTGCGATAGTACACGATTAAGCTGTCGATTTTTACATCATCTTGAAAAACGAACTGTTCAATTTCTTCCATGTGATACGGATGATGAAGCGAGACACGCCATTACGAAAGGTTGGGCCTGGGCTGCTATTTCATTCCCATCGAATTATTCAGAATCCTTACAAAATAGAATCAATGATGGAGCAAATGCTGACGAAGCCAGTGTCGCTTTTTCTGATATGAATGTCGTTATGGACATGTCAAGTAGGTCAAATCTTCATATTTTATTTTCATTTTTAAATATAATTAGCTTCATTATTACAATCTTTATTTATTGAATAAAATAGACATTTTTTTTCTGATGCTACAATTTGCAATTGAAATATTTATTTAATAAATATTTCATAATTTTGTAATCTATATTTTACTATAATTTCTTATATTTAATTTATTTTTTAAATAAAAAAAATAATAATAATATTCATAAATATTTATATTGAAGAAATATTTTTAATTTCATTTATTTTTCAACTTTTTTCACATTTACTTTTTTTTTCACTGTGATCGTATTTTAAATTTATTTATAATTGAGGAAATTTTATTTTAATTATTAGATCAACAAATTGGTCAACTTCTTCAGAGGGATCTATTGTATTCGTATCAGGACTTTGCAAAAGATTTTATAGGTGCCTGTAACTATAGCGAGAAATTAGCAACGCTACCTGTAAATGTAGGATATTAATTTTTAATTATTACTAAAATTTTATTTTTCCAATTAAATTTGTTCGTCATAGCTTAAAAAAAAAATTTTTTTATTTTTTTTAATAACTCATTAACGCTCATGTTCAGCGAAAAATAAAAAAATATTCAAGAAATTTTTATTTTTGTTAATAGGAACGTTGATGAAAATTGAAATTTTTTCCAATGCGGTGTTCTTTTTTAAATAAAGCAATAATTTTTTTGATTTGTTTATACAAATTTGTATAAAATATATTTTTTTATACAAAAATTTTAATGTCTTATTACTAAAAATAAATTTCTTGATATTTTTACTTTTCTCGTGGGTTTAACAATTGGTAAATTTCATATAGAATTGCCCAAATATAAATAATAAAAATATCATTATTTTTTTTCTTAATATAAATAATATAAATTATATTATAATAAATGAATTTTTTTATTCAATTAAAAGTTTCTATTATTTTTAAATACGCGATTCGTTTATTAAATTTTGTTTTACATTCTATTCCGCTTTATATATACATATTATTTAAGTTCAATATACGTAATTGCAATTTATTCTTTCTAATTAAAAAAAAAAATGTTAATTCCATAAAATGAATTTTTAACTTTTCGTTCAACTTTTAATTTCGACAATTTTTCATTTTAATTTAACAATTTTATTACAGTTCAAAACTCCGATATATGGAACAAAAGAGCCTAATTTCACAGATTTTGCAGCTCCTGGAGTTATTCTAACGTGAGTGTATTCTCGTTTTATTCGCAAAAATTTAAACAAAAAAAAAAACAAAATAAACAAAAATTAGAATTGTACAATGAAAAATTATAATGAAAGTTGAAATTTTTTTTCTTTTAGTATCATTTTCTTCCTGTCTGTTGCACTCACTTCGGGAGCTATGTTACTGGAAAGAAATGAGGGTCTACTTGAAAGATGTTTAGTTTCCGGTAAATTTTGATTAAAAAAAAAAAAAAGTTAAGAATAGAAATTAAATTTCTTCTAATATTGTTAATAAATAAATAAAATATATTTCAGGTGTAACGGGGACAGAAATTCTGTTCGGACAGGTCGTTACACAGTTTATGGTGATGACTGGTCAAACAGTGATGGTTTTGATTTTCGCATTTGCCGTGTTCAACGTCACGTGTGAGGGAGATTTAGTCTTGGTGACTATTCTCACAATACTTACTGGATTGTGTGGAATGTGTTTCGGTAATTTTACTCTTTTATTTAAAATAAAATTTAAATGTTAAAGTTAAATTAAAAAAAAAAAACAACTTTTATTATTATTAATTTATTAAATTTACAATATTTATTTATTTTTCATAATACATAATAACATTAATTTGAATTTGATTTAATTTATCAAAATTATGTTTTATTATTTTATACATTAAAAATCATTAATTAAAGCTTTTTTATTATCTAATTAAAACATTGATTAAAATTTTGATTACTATTTAAAATAATAATTTAAATCTACTTTTAATATAAATGTGAAACTCGATGAATTTCTAAATTCATTGACAATAATATTATCGAGTAAAATTATTTAATGATATTATCAAATTATTTTATTTTAAGATAATAATCATCTGAAATTGAATAAAATCATTTGAAATTTAATTATTTCTAAAAATTTCAACTAATAACTCTTCCAATGTTCAATTATTTTTAATAATTTTAATATTTCTTTAAAAAAGTTTTAAATAAAAACTCAAAAATTGAATTGTTGTCAGAATTTTTTTTTTATTGAAATTTTTGTCCTACTTAATTAAAATTTTATAAATTTACGTCATCTATTTTGTAATATTCGAAATAAATTTTCTTGATAAATATTCCTGTAGAATTATTCTTATTAAGAAATTTTTTTTTCACCTTTGTGAAATTTTAATAGTAATTGAAACAGTGAATTGAATTTGTATGAAATGATTATTAAAATTTACAGGATTCGTTGTTGCTTGCTCGTGTGATAATGAAAGAAGTGCAACGTATATGGCAATGGGATCATTTTTGCCAATTGTCATGTTATGCGGAATTATTTGGCCTATTGAAGGAATGCATCCAGTTTTGAGATATATCAGTTTCATTTTGCCATTGACCAAGAGCACAGAATCATTTCGATCAATGTTGGCGAGAGGATGGACAATCTCAGAGGCAACGGTTTATGAAGGATTTATTGCCACTTTCATCTGGATTATCGTTTTTCTAACAATCGCAATATTATTACTTAAATTCAAAAAGGGATAAATGGGAAATTGTTTTTCCTTTCTTTGTTTTTTTTTTTGTTGTTGTTTGTAACACCAATTCCAATTTGCCATTATAATTGACCATTTTTTATTTTTGATGATAAAATGTTATCTCATTATGTGGTTAATTTATATTGTAATATTTAGTATATGAAGAGCTTAAAATTACTGAAACTGAGAAAGTTTAAACTAAGTATAAATTTATAGTTTTTAATTAGACATTATAGCTGATGTTATAAAGATAAGAAAAAAGAGTTTTAATCATTGAAAATGAAATTAAATGGAAAAGAATTCTTTTAAGTCTTTTTTTTGTTTGATTGAAAAGTGTTTTGTTCTGCGGAAAACTTTTTCATCTTAATATGTTAAATCAAAATAAATGAGTGTATATTGTGTGTCAATAACGAATTGCTCAATGCGATGTAATATATTTATTATTTTGTTTAACTTAAAAAAACAAATTATTTATAAAACAAATGTCTATATACATTAAATATTGATAATGATAACAATAGAATAATATATGTAAAATGTTGATTTAAGGAAACAGGGTTAATTGCTCAAGGTTAATTTTTTAATTAAATTTCCCATTTTTTTCCCCGTAAATAATTTAATTATTTTAATAGAATAATAAATTTGATATTAGCGATTATAGTATAATAACAGCGATTTTCAATAAGTAGAGCAATATTCGTTATGCAATTGTTTGTACAGTAATGGTGCAAATGTTTCTTTATTTTGGTTAAAAAAAAAAAACATTAACAAATTTAGTAGAAAAGCATTTGTATAAAGCAAGAAATAAAGATATTTACGAAATTATTATTTTCTGTAAAAAAAATTTGTAGAAACGAAAATATATATTATATTTTTAAAAAACAAAATTTAAATATAATGTGATTATTTATCTTTTCATTTCTTTTTTTTTTATTGTTTTTCATATAAAATTTTCATGTATAAAAACTATAAAATAATTTTCCACAAATAATGCGTAAATTTACATTGCAATCAAATTTTCTTTAATTAACATTAAATAATTATATGACGATTAATTTTCAAAGTATTTTCAATTTATTTCAATATACATTTAATGCAATTTTAATTTATTAAAAATAATTCAGAATAATTAATAAATTTTAATAACAACCAAAAATGCTCACCTGTATAGTATAGTCTATAATCAGGGGCATGGGGAATTCCCTTATTATAACAATTACTACATAATTTTTAAATTTAATTTCGTTATTATGATTTAAAATATATTAAATAATACGTTTAAATCTCAATGTAAATAAAAATTTAATTTAAGTTTAATTCTTATTTATGTACTATATTTACGTTTTAAATAATAAATATTATATTAATAAATCGTATTACTTTTACCGCTATAATTGAAAACTCAATTATTCAAGCATATGATTGGCTGAAAAATAATCAATTGATAAACAAATATGTAATTATTTTAAACAATATATTGAAATAATTAAAAATATTAATTAAAATATTTTTTTGATTGGAAATAAACATGAAATATTATATTTAAAATATTTTTTTAGGAATCTCCTATATCGACAAATTTGAATCACTCAGTTGTTTACATTGTTGTCATTTCATCAAACTACCGGCGATTTAATTGTTCAAAGTACAAAATTATTCGTCAACATGCTGTGAAATATATGTTTTTCCTTGTGTTCATTTATATCTTCAATAATTTATAATTATTAATAAAGAATTTTATATTGTTTAACTTGATAATTCGATGCAATCATATAAGGTAAGTGTCTTGTTTTTAAATTTTGTCACATTATTTTGAGGTTAGGTTCTGGAATTTCATATAAAAATTCCTTATTTTATCAGAATTTTAACATTGTTTTTTTTCAATGATTTTCTGTATAAAACATTGACTATTTTTGTGTTGAATATTTGTTTTTGTCTTTTGAATCGAAAACGTAATTTGTACAATTGTAGGGACAAAATAAAAAATTAAAAAACACGTGTTGACTATCGACATATATATAGGTATACATATACTATATACACAACACAATATTTTTAATTTTATGAAACTATAATCTTAATAATTTATTATTCTTGTGTACTGTTATGTATTATTTAAAATATTATAAATTATTACGAAAATTTTTCAATTTTATTGTAAATTATTTAATAGTCGTGTGATACATTGATTTTTATGAAGAATTTTTATCGCCTTTTAAATTCCTATTATATCACTTGCAATGTATCGCGCTTATTGATTATACGACATTTTCTGATTTTTTTTTCGAAAATACGACTTTTTTCGACTTATTTTAATAAAATGCGACATTTTCGACTTTTTTTTTTTTTTACATTTTTTTACAAAATTTTTAAACAAAATACGTCTTTTTTTAAAATACAATGCAGATCTTAAAATCTTCTTTATTTTAATTATTTAAACAAATTTTTAATTTAAATTCTTCAATTCAATTATTTTAAATTATTTTTCAATTAAAATTTTTATAAAATTCAACAATTGTTTACAATTTGAAAAAAAATCAAATAAAATCAGCAAAAATTTCAATTTAAAACCTTTTGAAATTTAATTGTTTTTAAAATTTTCCATCTAAAATATTTTCTTTTTTTTTTATAGAAAAATTTTTTAATTAAATTTTTGTCAGCAATTTCTAATACATTTTTTTCAGCAACAGAAATTATCAAAAATTTCAATTAAAAATCACTTGAATTAAATTTTTATTTTCAAAAATTTTAATTTAAAACCATCTAAAATTTAATTATTTCTGAAAATGTCAACTGTAACTCTTCCAAAATTTAATGATTTTATGTAATTAATGATTTTTGTAATATTCTTCAAAAATTCAATTATTTGATAGCATTTTTCAATTAAAAACTTTTAAAATTCAATTTTTTTTCTGCAATTTCTAATATTAATTCTTCATCAGCTGAAATCACAAAAAAAATTTGATTAAAAATCACTTGATGTACAATTAATTTCAAAAATCTGAATTTTAAATCTTTGAAAATTCAATTACTTTTAAAAAATGTTATCGAAAATTATTTGATAAATTATATTCAATTCTGTAAAATTTAATTATTGTTTAAATTTTAACAAAATTTTTTTAATATATTTAATTATTTCTAAAAATTTCAAACTTATAACTCTTCCAAACTTCAATTATGTTTAATAATTTTAATATTTCTTTAAAAATTTAATTATTTAAAAAAGTTTCAAGTAAAAAGTCTAAAATTGAATTGTTTTCAGAATTTTTTTTTTTTTTTTTTTTAGAAATTTGTTCTACTTAATTAAAATTGAGGAATTAATAAAATTGATTTAATATATAATAACATTAGTTATTTAAAGTAAAATACTTATTAACTGATTAAATTTAATTAAAATTAAAAATCTACTTTTTCGACTTTTTTTGCACCTTAAAGTCGATCTGAGGCCTGAATATTTATATTTTTTAGGTTTCTTTTTTTGTTTTACTGTTATTTTTTAGTTTTAACTTAAAAAATGCATTTAAGTATTTTATTTTATTTGTTTTTTATTATTATTATTATTATTAAAATTATAAATGTATTTTTAAAAGAATTTTCAAAATTTCGAAGTCAGAAATTAATGCGTTTATCTATGCATATAAGGTTGATACAAATTCCTAAACCATTTACCTGCAGTCTCAACTTAAGTCTTTAAGTCCGTTTAGAATCCCTATAGTTGTGAAGAGCTTATAATATTTAATCTGTTGTGTCCAAAACTTAATTAATCTTACAAAAGTTTATTCGCTAATGAAGAAAATAAAGTCATCAAAATATAACGATTCAAGAATTATGATCTTTACGATTTTTTCGATCTCTATATTGAATCGTCCCTGTACGGAATTTTAATTAATTAAAAAAAAAAAAAAGGAATGTAAAATTACATTAATTTTAAATTATTTAAAATGTAATTTTAATTATTAATTAATAATTTAAAATTTTTTACTTTTTAATTATAATTTTTAATTTATTCTTAACTGTTTTCAATTTAAAACGTTTATTCTATTTTTGAAAAAAGTGAAATTTCATTTCAGACGTGTTCCAACTATGAATGAAGTCACGTGTACGATTCAACATTCGAAGTGTCCAGAAACTTTGATGGATCAGTTGATTAACAAAAATAAAATCACTGACTCACTTGAATTGGATTCTAAAATTTCTGATACAATTTCACCTTTTACTAAAGTATTGGACAAAGAAAAAGTAATTATTTCAAAATTAGATTCCAATGATTTACTCAATATGAATGAAGACGATTCAATAATTGAAACACTCGTTGAACCACTAATTGGAGGATTTTATGATTTATCAGAAATTCATAAATTTGCCAATTTAAAAGAGGACGATGTTCAAATGCCCGAAGTTTCATCGACTGAAAAAATGAAAAATGATTTTGATAATTCACTTTTAACAGAAACAAATCTTGCAATTGATACAATTGATAATTCAAATAAAATCATAACAAAAAAACCGAGAATAATTTCAAATAAAATTATTGAAAATAAAATTCAGTTTCATTGCAAAAAAATTATTGACAATAATAATTCAAAATCATTGAATTTTGAAAAAAATAATTCATCAGAAACGGATTTTTCTACATCAGATTCCTTAATGGAAATGGAAGATTGTCTTGGATTTTCGAATGATGATATTGAACAAAGTTTTAAAACTTTAAATCGAAATATTAAAAAAGAGCCAATTAAATACAATTTTCCAAATTTTTATCGTGAAACACCAATTATTTTAATTAGTGAAACTAAAATTGAATTGACTTCTTATTTAAGATTCAATCTTCCCGATCAAATTGAACCACTTAAATCGATTGGTCACAGGAAAAATTTAATAAAACCATCAAAATTTCATTTCAATGGCTCTGGATACACGGAACTTGATATATTAATGAGAAATTGTAATATCATGAATAAAAAAAAGAATAAAAAAAAGAAACAATCAAATAAGAAGAATAAATTGGCTATTATTCAAAAGGGAAAATTAAAATCGCCAATTAAAAAGAAGGCGGAAATTTTCGTCGAGAATAATAAAGAAGAAAGAAGTGTTGAACGTCGACAAACAAGATTTTTATTAAAGACTTTAAATCATCATCAATCATTACAATTGAATGACACACCAAAATCAAATAATGAATCAAAGCCACGTGCGAGAAATATTATTTCTGAAATTAATAAATGGCATTTAAAAGATGTTCGTATTCATCTTGAACGTATGGAAATTATAAAAGAATATGCACATTTAGATTTTATGAATACGAGTCCCTTTATCGATTCCCCAGGCTCTTCAGAAAATGAACAGTCATTATCTATGGATGAGAGTTCAAAAAAGGAAATATTTTTCGCAACCCGCAGGTCGGATAGGCTAAGGAAAAGTGAGATAAAAGGTATCATTTCTCTTAAATCTAAACAGCCTTATAAACAAAACAAAAGAGTTTCATTTTCAAAGTCCGTTTTACAATATGAGTATGATAAGTAAAAAAAAAAAAAAAAATTTACTTACCTTCGTGACGCTTAAAAATGTTTTTTATTTTTTGTAAAAAAAAAAGGATGAAATCGTTAACGATTTTTAAAAACTTTTTCTTTTACTTATTTTTCTGTAAGAACAAAAAAAAAAATGTGTGATAGTCATGAGACCAAAGAAGGTTAAATTTTACTTTTTTTCATTTTCAATTTTTTTTTTTTTTTCTTTTAAATACGTCGATGAAGCTAACAACGTTTTTATTATTAACAATTTAAAATAAATATTTTTCACGCGAAAAATAATAAAATTTTTTGCTTACAAATTTTTTTTTTTTTTTAATTTATCAAGAAACGTTGCAAAACTTTTTTTAGACAAAAAAATTATAATAATTTGTATAGAAAAATAATTTTTGTTCTAAATCGTTGATTATAAAAACGTGAATTTCAACGACGTGTTAAAGTACGTTACTTGGTAACAAAGAAAAATTTTTTATTTAAAAATTCAAAAATATTTGAAAATTTTTATTATAATTATTTCTTTGAAAAAATGTTATTGCTTAATTTAAAAAAAAATTTAATGAACTGTTCCTAATCATTAAAAAGAGCAAAACCAGTGATATAAAATATAAAATTCAAAGAAGTTTTAATAGAAATTGTGATTTAAATATCAACATAAATATTGTTCTTTATTAAATAATTGTAATCAGTAAAAATCAGTTTCTTTTTAAGTTTAATAATTGCTCTTTTAAGTTTAATTATTCAAATAACTTATTAATTTTTCATGTAATTTAAATAATTTTGTTTTAGATTTAATAAAACAGGTGTTTTTTTCGCTTTAAATGGAAACAAATCTGTTAGAAGTTTAATTATTTTAAGTTTACACAAATCAAATGAGCCAAAAGTTTTGAACGTTCAAATGAATAAAATACTTTTTTCAATCTATAAATTATTAAAATTTATAATGTCAATGTAAAATAAAAAAGTAAATTAAACTAATATTAAATTAATAACTCCTTTTTAGATATTTAAAACAGTATTTTGTAATAAAATTCATATTTAAAGAAGTTACAAAAAAAATTTTGTTCATTTGAACGTTTAAAACTTTTGGCTCATCAAATCAACAAACATTCTAGTTAGGCAGCTATATAAAAGACTGTTAATAAATTATCAAAACTAAAATGTATTTGTTTATCGATAAAAGATTGCATTTACATTATGTAAACAACTGTGTTACTTACCTATAAATAAAAAAAAAAATTATTTTGTATAATAAGTTTTGTGAATTATTAAATTAAAATTGCGATAATAATTTTAAAATGACCCAAGTTTTGATATAGAGGAGAGTGGATAATTTCAAGTTTTTTAGAAAATTACTTTAGAAAATTTTATTATAATTATTTTTTTTGTTTTCCATATGAATATAAAAATTTTAATTTGTATAGGCAAAAGAAAGGATTTTTAAAAATTAAGTAAATATTAAATTTAGATTTCATTAATTAATAAATATTTAATATAAGTAGACATAAAATTTGAAGTTAATAAAAAGAGGAGGTAGTTAATTACTAGATAAAATGAATTTGAATTGAAATTTTTTAAAATAAGTCAATAAATTATAATTCGATTTTAAAAAGAGTTTAATAAAAGAGTTGAAAATTTAGGGTGTTATAGTAGTTGTACAAAAATGTATCTTTTTTAAAAAAAATTTTGTAAGAATTATATTAATAGAATAAGAATAAATCTTTATTTGTAAGGGGGTTAAGTTCTTTATTTATTTGTTTAATAAATTAATTTAATTTTATAATTTTTTATTATACGAATTAGATGATTATTCTTATGTTATTATATTAATTTCGGAATGTTAAAATTTTGATTATTAGTAAATTTGTTTTTAGAAATTAGAAAAAAATTGTTACCGCGATAATATTTTCGGAAATGAGACAGACTTATTAAATTTTTTACCATTTAGTTTTTTAGAAAAAAGAAAAAAAATATTTTTTTCAATTAAATTTGAAAAAAATTTCAATTATTTAAAATTATATTAAATTTAACAAGTCAAAACTTTTAAATTCAAACTCTTCCAAAATTGAAAATAAATACATATAGATTTAATTATTTTATTTAAAACAAATTTTAACTAAAATTTTTTGCAAATTTTATCATAAATTTTTTAAGAATTTAATTCTTATTAGAAGCTTTGATTGCAATTCTTCGAATTATTAATAAATTCAAAAAATTTTAAATAAAATTCTTCACAAAATTTATTTAGTACGTTAAAATCAATTAAAATTTATAAAAATTTATATTGAAAATCTCAACATTCAATATTATTTATAATAATTTAATTTTTAATAATTTGAATATTCAAAATATAAATTATGTAAAAAATTATAAATACGTGATTATAGTGAATTATAATACAAACTTTATTTATTAAATAATTTTTTAACTGAAAAAATTATACGATTGTAGGAATTATTTCACTGAGTAAAATAAGCTATTGTTTTATGAATTATTATTATTATTATTTTATGAAGAAAAACAAATTTTGTAATAGTCCCAATCGCGGAACTATTTTGTTTTTGAGTTTACATAACTCAGATAAAGACATTTTTTTCTCTAATAAAACTTATAGAATATCTTCAGATGACCTTAAAACCCACATGACCTTAATATATTACTGTGGCTTTGAAAAAAAGTGATTCATTCTTACCCACTCTCCCCTATTTGAATTTCTGAAAAATGAATTCTCTCTCACTTTTTTTTTTAAAGAGGGGAAAAATATTATTAAATCTATTAAAATTATTCTTAAAAATTAGGTGCATAATTTACTTTAAATTATTATTTGAATTGAAAAATAGGATTGTATTAAAAAATCATAATTTATATATAATCTGACAAAAACTTTTTTGTTTTTTTTTTTTTTTTAATAATAATCAGCAACTGCTTTATTTTGACTGCCAGTATATTTTAATACACGTGGATTAATTTATTGTAGACTAGAAAACAAATTCGGTATAATAAGTATTATTATTTTTTGCAATGTTTATTGCTGTTTTTTTTCATAAATAATGAAATAAATACTAAAACTAAATTTATTGTTCATTCGTTTTTCCGAGAGAGTAAAGAATAGTTTTTACATACTATAAATGGTACAAAATTTTGATTTCTAATTAAAGATTCTAATTATATATATGAACAATATTTTCGCTTTTTTCATATTTATTTATTTTATTTTATTTTTGTTTTTGACAATTAGCACCAAAATTGTTCGATTTTTATTTTCTACTGTAGGTTTGTTTCTTGTTTTTTTTTGTTGAGAATCAATTGAAAATTGCGAAATTTTTTTTTTTAATATTACAACTAAAATTAATTATTTTAAGGCGAAGAATAAACTAAAAATCAAAATATATAATGGTGCTAATTTTGAATTATGAAACATTTCATATTTTGTTACATTGTAACCTAGCTACTAAATAATTTTTTCATTTCTTTCTTTTTTTGAACAAGTTGATAATCTAACAATAAATCACAATAATTTATGACGTTTCAACTTAGCTTAATTGAAATTTACAATTGTCTTATATAATATTTACATCTATAATGATCTTATTTTATTAAAGTGTCTATTAATTATTTAATTTACTAGATTTATTACATTTACGCAAATTCATTGCTCATTAACCCTGTTATTTATTTATTTTTTAATGAATTTTATCGCCAATGAAGTGTTCCATAGAAAAATAACAATAAATCAGTCAATTATTCAAATATTTAATTAAAAAGTAATTTCAATTTTGTTTGTAATTTGAATGTTGCTTTAATTTTTTTTTTTTTTTGCATTTTTTTTCAATTGACGGACAATAAATTATTCTTCTCATATGGAACAATATGAAAGTAAAAATGTACTAAAAAATTTGTCTATAACGTTTTTTTTTTACATTCGTAAGTCTTTTACACGCATTAAATTAACGACATATGTAATTAATTTTAATTGCGTCATATACAAAACAGATTATTGATAATCTTTTTTTTTTCTTTTAATTATTTTCTAAAACAGATGAGTTTAGTAATAAACATTTTATTGAATACAAATCAATATATTTTTGTGGGATCATTAACAAAACAATTTCAAATCTTATAAACAATTGAAGAATTTACAAATTGTTTATTGTTTATAATTTACATGTAAGTGATTTGTCAATTCGCTTTAATTTTTTCGCCCTATTTATTTTCACTCAGAATAAAAGTTTCTTTCACTTAAAAAATAGTTTTTCATTATAGGTAAATAAATAAAATTCTAATAATTATTTTTTAAATCATAAATTAGAATGATTTATTTTGAAAATAAAAATTTGTATAAACAATTTTTTTAAAGACATTCTTGATATAAATTATCAAAATATTTATTTATGTAATAAATTATACTGTAATAGCATTTTTTAAATTAATTATAAAGTTAGTTTAAAAAATAAAATTTCCTTAAATTCGAAACAAAGAAATTCTGAAATTCGGAGAAAGACGGTTTTTTTTTTTTTTATTATTTTGAGAGAAAGAAAAACTTTTCTGAGTTCTTTTTTTTAATAGAATTTCGAGTATACTCTTTATTTAATACTCTTTCGAGTATATTAAAAAAAATTTCTTTCAATTTAAAAATAAAATTTTTTAATAAACTATATTATTAATTACCATTTTTGTTTTTATAGAAAAGATTTTTAGAATTTTTTAATGCACAAAATAATCAGTGAAAATATATATAGTATAAATCCAGATATAATCCAAGTATAGTAATAAACTTCAGTAAGTACCATCTGCCCTTGGTCTTATTAACAGTTAGGATTTAGGATTAAACATAATTAGCTATAAATAAAAATTTTAAGCTACAACATTTTACGACGTACAAAATTTATAGGCAAGTTTAAAAAAAAATTTGTGAATTTTGTTATAATAGAAAATTTTCACCAAAATTGTCTTCTTTTCGTGAAAAGAAAAAAAATGATAACTAAAAATAAAGTTTTTATTCAATTTTTTAAAATAGAAAATATATATATGTGTGTATTTGTCGTTGACTCTATGAGAAAAAACAAATATATTATTTAGAGGCAATTTTCTCTAAAATTGAATAACAATATATATGTATTATAATGGAAAACACTTTCTTATGTATATCAAACATGAAATATTTTTTTTTTTAGAACACTTTCGTCTTATTATAAAATTATTATTTTTATTTCATTTATCGAGTAAGTGAACAACAAAATTGAAAGCTCTTTGGTATAATATGACAATGAGAATTGTTTACCTATAAACATATATAATACTATATTGTATGTATTATACCATAAAATATGAATTCAAAATTTTCAATGTTTCAATTAATAATAAAAATTCAAAAAAGTAAATTTTCAAATATATAGACAAAATCAATTGATTAAAATTATTATTTTTTCACAATCGAATAGAATTTTTGTTTTTTGGTCAATTTAAAAACATTTTCTTCCAAAAAAAATTATAATTACAAATTTAGATTTATAGAGATTATTATTTTTAAAAAATCAACTATACGATAAAATTAGTAATTTATGAAAATTCAATTCTCATTTTAAAATCAATTATATATAAATGGGATCAAAAATTTCCCAGAAGTAAATATTTTCGAAAATAATTTCTTTCTCTATCTACGCATATAAGAAAATAATTAATTAAATTAATTCTAATTTAGGTACAATATATAATATAAAAAAATATGAAAATTAATGAAAATGGAATTTTCCATATTTGATCATTGTATTAATTTTGATGTATGCGCGAAGAATCTACAAATGGATTTTGTATGAGAGGTTTACAATGTTACTATATATATATAAAAAATTATCATTGATAATTTTTTTTTTTTTTTTTTTTGATTGAGATCCTTTAGACTTAGGGAACACATGAATACTCTCCAAATTAGACTTGCCGTAATTTTTGTGGTGTCAAATTAAAAATTAGCGAAATTAGTAGAATTTTAAAAAAGTAGATTTTACAATGAGCCCAATTTTAGTATCGAAAAGTTTCTATTTCAAAAAAAATTTTGATTATGTAGAATTTTTATTTAACAACTTTGATCTAATGAAAATTCGGATAAGTGAAATTTCGGTCAAATAAAATATCGGTGAAATAAAAATTTAGCTAAGTTGAATTTCTGTTAAATGACAATTCTATTAAATAAAAATTAAATCAAATAGAAATTTTATTTAATATTAAAAGTGAATATTCAGATAAACAGAAATTGGACAAAAGAACAATTCTGATAAATAAAAATTATTTTTTATGAAAATTTTTTTAGATATAAATTTTGTAAAATGGAAATTGTATTATTTGAAAATTCGATATATTAGAAAATCTGTTTTATCAAAGTTCAGTTAAATAAAAATTAAAAAAAAAATCAGAATTTTTTTATATAGGGGAATATACTCAGGGTTGGACACTTCGCTTTTCCTAGAATAAGAACACTAGCGCCATCTATGAACGGACGTGGCGAAGCTTCTCGTAGTGAAACCTAACTTTTTGTGCCATTACATTTTTGAAGGATCAAAAGTAGCGTCTGCTGTGACGTCGGTGCATTTGTAGAAACGAAAAAAGTTTTGTGAGCGATGTGATTAAATATAAAAATGAATAAAGGAAAACAAGAAATCGGCAAGGTAAGTTTATTGTATGTATTGTGGGGTTCATGACTGAAGAAAAAATGAAGTGAAAAATCGAATCGCGAAACATGTCTGGTTATGGTTAGCACAAATCGAAAATGTTACTTCTACTTAGGGTTGGACACTTTGTTAATTATGAATTTGACACAATTTACATTATAAATGTTATTTTATTTTTTTTAAACCATAATTCGCTTCGATTTTCACAAAGTGTCCAACCCTGACTAGATTTTTCTTTTTTTTTCAAATGATCAGAACTTTTTTAATTTAAGATCAATTAATTTACGATCTTCAGCAAAAGTTTTCCTATTTTGTACATCTTTCTAACAATATAACTCAATTGACTAAATTAATTTTTTTTAAAAAAGATTATAAACAAAGTTTAAAACGGTGTTCAACCCTGAGTATATTCCCCCGGAAATTTTTCGATATTTAAAATTGGGCTCATTGTAAAATCTACTTTTTTAAAATTCTACTAAACTATAAATTCGATAATTTTTTAATTCGACACCACAAAAATTCCGGCAAGTCTAATTTGGGGAATATTCATGCTTTCCAGACTTAGAATGAAAAAGAAATTTCTCAGCAATTTTGATCGTGAATAAGAAACGTATCACGATAGAGAGAACCTGGATTTCTGTGTATCATGGTGACATATGAACCACCCGCTTCTGAGTTAGCAGTGGGATTTCGCGTTGGTGTCAGAAGTGGAGTACCTTGAAGACTTATTGCAAGAGGAAGTGTACCTGGGGCACATACGTTTAATGTCCCTCGACTCGCTTCTGTCACCGAACGATATCTGGCCAATCTTCCTGACCTGTAATTTCACAAAATTGACAAAAATTTTAATTAAATTTGCATTAATTATATAATTTCATTTGAAAACGAAAAGAAAATTTTACGGATTCTTTTTTTTTATTGGCCTAGAAATCGATTATGGTGCTAAATAAGTTTGTCATATTTCAGTATAATACCCTGGCGTATTGGATATTCCGAAATTTAATCCAACTGGATAAACTTTCGGTTAACTTTGCCTTAACTTTCGGTTTCTTTGAAAAAATATTTTATTAAATTGACAAAATATGAAGAAAAGAAAATTGTTTTAAAAGATAAATTCGTTGTCATGTGTGCCAAGAGTATATTAATATTTTGTCAAAAAATTTATTTTTAAAAAATTGTATATTTAGGAAAATGATTACAAAATCGTTTTTCCGGTATATTGAATTTTCTTCAAATATACAATTTTTTAAAAATAAATTTTTTAACAAAATATTAATATACTCTGGTACATTACAACGAATCCTTGTATTATTTTTAAGTTATTTACAAAATTTTAGCTCAATCAAGTATTTTGCGAGAAAATCTACGAGGAATATTTTACATGTGAAATTACAACAATCACATAACCTTAGTTTATTAATTTTAGGGCAAAAAATATTTTATACATATTTTTTTATTTCAATTTTTTTTTAAAAAAAGGTCTACATTTACGAAATTAGAATTTTGAAAATTCATAAAATAAAAAAAAATACGTATCTCTTTTTTTCACTACAGAACAAGAAAAAAATTTATTTGGCCGAATTTAAAGAGACGACGGAAATCTCACGTGATTTTGCCCATATATACAATATTTTTCGCCCTTGAATTCAGAAATTAAATTAAAATTTTTATAATAGAAAAATTTTATGTTGAATTGCCTATATATTTTTGACATACTTTTGTGTCAAACTAAAAATAAGTAAATTATAAGTTTATAAGCGGTAAAACACATAACCTCAAAAATGTAACTGTCATTAATATTATTGGTTATGTTTTGTAATTTTTAAGCCAAAATACACAAAGACATTCAACTGGTAATGCAAACTAATGATATTTTGGTCTTTATAACATCCAAAATATTCAATAAAAACTTATTTTAGTTATACAAAAACAAAAACTAAACTTTTAGTTCAAGTAAAAGTGTCGTAAACATAATCTATAATTCATTTACTTCTATAGAAGTAAAAAGTAAAGTAAAGACCTTATAAGGTCCATTTATTTAGAGTGCGTCACATTTATATGTTTTTTAAGATAATTTTATAACTTTTTGTCTTAAAATAACTTCGAAAATTTTATTAAAAATTATATTGAGTTGTTTACTTAACATAAAAAATTTTACCTTTTTAATAAATTTAGATTTTAGTAAAATTTCAATGTTAATTTTCAAATTTATTGAACAATTTCTACAAAAAAATTTTTTAAAATAATTTTTATTGTATTCTACAGAAAATGTTTCGTATAAATAAAAGTAATAAGATATTTAGGCTATTTTATAAAAAAAATAAATATTGATGGATATAATAGCCCCAACTTTTTGTCGCCCAACTTATAGAAACTCTTCTTTTTCTACATTATTAAGAGAAAATAGTTTATAAATAAAGAAAAAAATCTTTATAATTTATTGTAATGCAAATATTTTGGAACATATTAAAAATTTTAAATTAATATTTTGTAATATACATATATTTATTTAGCACCATAATCACTATCGATTTCTAAAAAAAAAACAAAAAAAATCCGTGACATGAACTTTCGTTTTCGAATGAAATACTCTATATATATATTTTTTTTAATACTATATATACGATGCCATTTTCTCACGATTTTATATAATTTTTTTATATCTTTTTTAACTCCTTGAAACACAAAATTTTTTATTGAAAAAATTTTCATATACATTGAGAATTTTAAGAAGTTATTAAAAAGAATTGTAAATTTTACTTATTTAAAAAAAAAACTTTATAGTTCTGAAATTTGTAGTTATCACATTTTTTTTCTTTTTATTTATTTTTTTAAAAAAGTTTTTTTTACATCCAGAAGAATCATCTTATTCAATTACCAAATATAATAACACAGAAAATTATAAGGTATTAAAATAAGTTGCAACGCTTATTATTTTAATCCAATTTTGCTTATTTTAATCCATTTTGGTATTAAAATAAGCAAAATTTTATTAAAATAATAATCGTTGCAGCTTATTGTAATGCCTTTTAATTTTCTGTGAATTTATTTGAATTAAATAAAAATTTATTTATCTCAAAAAGCTATAAATATAACTGTATATTTATTTAAACCAAATAATATTTATTTCAAACAAATAAATATTTATTAAGCTCTGAGACAAAAATTTATTTTTCTCTTGAATGTAACTGCGAGAAAAAGTCTGAAACATCAATAAATTTCGCTATATACTTGAAAAGTGAATTTTATCTGATTCTACAACTTTTCCTACTTCAAATGCGTACACAAAATAACTTTTTACATTATTTTCATTTTTATGTCATTTTAAAAATTTTTATGCAATTATATATTTTTTTGACATTGTTAACTTTTTTTTTTTAAATGAAAGTTTTTCTTAAAACACGAAATAAAATTTCCACTTAAAAAAGTGAATTTTATTTAACAATGTTTTTCTATTCTTGAAATATTATGTGAATTTCGATAAAGTTTCAAGAATTTTTTTTTAATCAATATTCCGAGAATGTAGATATACTTTTGCAATTAAAAATGACAATTAAAAAAGAAAATTAGCAAATTGAAAATAATTTTTCAAACATTAATTACATTGCATGAATAATTTCTATAATTATAAAGAAGAAAAACTAATTTAAAAAAGTGTTCAAAGAGTTAAGAATCAAGCTTGTCTACAAATAAAAGACAATAAAATAATAATTAATATGGTATTAGTCTTTTTACGAATATATCCCGTGCAGAAATTATGGTCTGAGCCTCTCAAGGCCCTTCCCAGTACGCCTGGATTCTAGCAAGGGCCTGACATGGCAAACTGGCAAGGCCCTAGTAATGGCTTGAGACGGTTTTGCAAGGATTTGCCCTACTTAGGGATGAACTTGCCAGGGCCATGAGAGTTTTCCTGGGAATTACCCTATATTTTGTGACAAAAATAACAATCAGTGAAAAATGTACTACAAGCTTATAATCAGTTGTAATGAGTAATTGATTGAATCAGTAAGCAACAAAAACTTGTAACAAAACAAAAACACAGAAGAATGCACAATTCTAGCCTGACACATAATAATCCCAAAGTCGACCCAACTTCAAATATGTATCACTAAACAAAAAAATTAAATATGGAATTAATTATACAACTAACACATTATTTATTACTGGATTACCTATTATTGTTTAACGCAATCGCTTACATAAATTTTGAAAAATATTTAACGCTCGCTGGGATCGAACCCCCTAATCTAACACGCTAACCATTACGCCAACTTAACGTGAGAAAATAAATACAAAATTCATTTGATAAGTTGCGACTGAGGAAAATGAAGACAATAAAGAAACAATAATTATTATATATAAATTATAATTTATTTAACGTAAGTCAATATTTTCATTTTGTTATTTTATTAAAACTTAGGAACATAATTTTTCTTATTATCTAAAATATAGATAATATAGTAAAAAAAAGACAAATAAATTTTAGTTTTTGTAAAGAAAAAGTCACTTATTTCTTTTGAGTTGTTGATAAAATTCTTAGATTAAAATTGTTAAATTTTTTTTAAAAATTAACTTAATTAATTTTTGTTAATGATGTTTAGAGGCCTTTTACAGTTAAGATATTTATTTATTGGTTGACATAACGTTGTTACTACATGTTTCGGCTATTTAGCCCTCATCAGGTAAGTCAATGCACTTTTGAAATAAGTATAAGTATAACAAACATAAGACAAATACGTAAGTAAAACAAAATCACGTGTTCGATCACATTATTTTAATCTATTAATTTGATTAATTTATTTAATTTAAAAAATTTGAAAAATTCAAATTTAAGAATCCATGGTAAATAATGAATGTTTCATGGTGTTCCATGGTAATATATCTGTTATAGCAGATTTCGGAAAAAAACGAAACATGTAGTAACAACGTTATGTCAACCAATAAATAAACATCTTAAGGCCGGGTCCAAGTGAGGCAGCGTCATCTACATTGAAACTAAAATTTTTGAAAATTTTTAACAGCCTTTTCTTGAAAACAAGAAGGTAAAATGCTTTTTCCTTTATGGATAATTGATTATTGGCAAGATATACACCAGCTAAAACGTTTTTTGAGTTAAAATAATAAAAAAAATTTCATGTCAATAAATTAAATATGAGCACTTTTTTCACAAAAACTGTAACAGTACTTTCTCAGAAATTACAATCAAAAATGCAATTTCCATTTGGAAAATTAATAAACGCTAAAAAATACACGACCTAAGATTTACCAATCACGAAAATAAGAAAAAAAAAGTATTTTAACATAACATATTTTACTCATTATGACAGCCGTTTGGCAGGTTATATATGTCACCAGACGTTTCGCAGTTTTGCCGAAAGGAGGTGATTGGCACTGTTGCTAACCACCTGAAATACATAATCTACCAAAGTGCTGTCACAATCAGTAAAGCAGTATCAATATGTTAAATATTTAATTAAATTTTTTTTTGTTATTTTCGTGATTGGTAAATCTTAGGTCGTGTATTTTTTAGCGTTTATTAATTTTCCAAATGGAAATTGCATTTTTGATTGTAATTTCTGAGAAAGTACTGTTACAGTTTTTGTGAAAAAAGTGCTCATATTTAATTTATTGACATGAAATTTTTTTTATTATTTTAACTGAAAAAAAGTTTTAGCTGAGTGTATTTCTTGCCAATAATCAATTATCCATAAAGGAAAAAGCATTTTACCATCTTGTTTTCAAGAAAAGGCTGTTAAAAATTTTCCAAAATTTTAGTATCAATGTAGATGGCGCTGCCTCACTTGGACCTGACCTTAACTGTAAAAGGCCTCTAAACATCATTAACAAATTTAAAATAAAAACAGTTTGAAAGAAATTTAACTTAATTAATTTTTCTTAATAATTTTAATAAATAAATTATTTTAATTAATTAAATTAATTAATTGTTATTTAAATAATTAAAAATTCATAAATATTATTATTAAATAATTATTACTTGATAAAATATTTTGCATGGAAATTTAATTTTATTATAGTTTTATTTGGTGTTAAAAATGACTTTTTATTTTGAGGTTATGTCATAAAACCATGGCAAGACCGAGTTGCTCTAAGGAATGCCATACTTGTGGACAAACTGGCAAGGGCCTTTCCACTGCCTTGATATGTAGTTTTCTAGGTTATTTTGCAAACATGGCATAACCAAGTAACTGTAGTTTAATCTGCCAAACTTGTGGAAAAACTGGCAAGGGCCATGAGAGAGCCTTACTTAAAGTAGAACTAAGTAGGGAAATTTCTGCACGGGTATATTATACAGAAAATGTCACAAGGAATAGTGCAGCTGATATGTTACTTTTTCTCATGATTACTATTTTTTTTTTTTTTTTTTTTTTTTTATATTCATTTAAAAGAAAAACTCTTAATAGTTCTCTTATTAATAAAAGGACAATAAAAATGCAAATGAAAAACAAAAAGCATTTTAATTACATTTCAAAAATTATAATAAGTAATTTAATTAACGACTATAAATAGAGATTAATTATTAACACATTTTCAATGATAAATTACAATGGATTTTAATTTTTTTAAATGGATTTTTAATGGATCAATATAGTACTTAAATGGAAGAGGTAATATTTAATGTTTAATTTACATCAACAACCAGCATAATGCGTTACGTTGATTAATGATATGAGGCAAAATTCCTGAAATGTCCGAACAAAAAATTAAAAGTTCTCGAATTTAATCCATACTTTTCTAAAATGTTGTTATTGTTGGTGAAAGTCTAAAAATCAATTATTATTGAATTTAATAAAATAGTTTTTGAATTACAACGTTTTTAATTTTTGACTTTTTAAAAAAAAATTTTTTTTCAATGTACAATATTTATAAGTAGAATGCATAAAAGTTAACATATATATAATGATTTTTGAAGCTTTTTTGACGAGCTACACGCTGTTAATAAAATTTTTTTTTTTTAAATAACATTTGACCTTGAAATTCAAGGTCAAAATGTTAATTTACGTTTATCTCAAAATCGGATTTTTTAAAATTATTTTTAACTATCTCAATGGAAAGCTTGACTAATTTCCTACAAAACATGTAATTTTCAGAGTGGGATCTTTTAAAGTTTTTGAGATATTAATTAATTAATTAATTAATGTTTATAACAAATGAAATATTTTACAAACCAATAAAGTTACCGTAATTCTGAAGTTAGTAATTGAAAGTTAACGTAATTCCGCATCCAACGAGCCCTATATGAAGTATTTTAGATAAGTAGATTGTTAATAAACAATTAGTTAACATTGCAATTGTTTATTAACAATATACTAATCCAAAATACTTCATATAGGGCTCGTTGGATGCGGAATTAGCTTAACTTTCAATTGGTTAGTTTAGATTTACGATAACTTTATTTGTTTGTAAGATATTTTATTTTTTACTAACAACAAGCATCCAAAAGCCCTATATGAAGTATTTTTGTTCAATTTTAGTTAAATAACAATAAAAAATAAAATATCTTACAAACAAATAAAGTTATCGTAAATCTAAACTAACCAATTGAAAGTTAAGCTAATTCCGCATCCAACGAGCCCTATATGAAGTATTTTGGATTAGTATATTGTTAATAAACAATTGCAATGTTAACTAATTGTTTATTAACAATCTACTTATCTAAAATACTTCATGTAGGGCTCGTTGGATGCGGAATTACGTTAACTTTCAATTACTAACTTCAGAATTACGGTAACTTTATTGGTTTGTAAAATATTTCATTTGTTATAAACATTAATTAATTAATTAATTAATATCTCAAAAACTTTAAAAGATCCCACTCTGAAAATTACATGTTTTGTAGGAAATTAGTCAAGCTTTCCATTGAGATAGTTAAAAATAATTTTAAAAAATCCGATTTTGAGATAAACGTAAATTAACATTTTGACCTTGAATTTCAAGGTCAAATGTTATTTAAAAAAAAAAAATTTTATTAACAGCGTGTAGCTCGTCAAAAAAGCTTCAAAAATCATTATATATATGTTAACTTTTATGCATTCTACTTATAAATATTGTACATTGAAAAAAAATTTTTTTTTAAAAAGTCAAAAATTAAAAACGTTGTAATTCAAAAACTATTTTATTAAATTCAATAATAATTGATTTTTAGACTTTCACCAACAATAACAACATTTTAGAAAAGTATGGATTAAATTCGAGAACTTTTAATTTTTTGTTCGGACATTTCAGGAATTTTGCCTCATATATGGAGCCAACTGGAGGTTACAAAATATACACATTTTATCGGAGAGGAAAATTAAAATGTTTTATATTTATAAAATGAAATAAAACTTTTTTTTATTATATTAAAAAAAAAAAAAAAAAAAAAAAGAAATTAAAAATACAAAAAAATATACATATTTTAATTAAAATAATTTTATTTTAATGAAAAAAAAATTATTTTATTTGCAAATGATTTTATAATAAATAAAAAAAATTACATTAAGCGAATTTTTGGTTTTGGGTTTAAAAGTACAAAATTTTCAGTTACAAGACAATTTTTCAGCACAAACACAGGGTTCAGTTATATGCAAATTATTTGTCTGCACAATATTTTTTCATAATTACCTGAAATTTTGTTTATTAGAAAACCCTGTAATTTGAGAAAAGGAAGTTGGGATTCCTTTTAGTAAAACCCAGAACTTTTCCGTGACATTTTTCTGAAACTAAAAATCATTCAAAAAAAAAAATAAAAAAAAATGATAATAATAATGAAATTATAAAAGTTTTTCTCATTACAGAAAAATGTCGAATTTCTGATCCGTTACAAAATGAAAAAAATAGATAAAAATAACAAAATCTTTTTAAAAAATGGTTAGAAATGACAAATTTACAAAGTGCCTAGATTAAGTTTTATAAGTTTTTAAGTAAATTTTACGAATTATCATTATTATTTTTATGGCTTGTTGATCTAACGACAATTGGTAAAATTTACTGAAAATATTATATTATACCTATAATTTGCAAACTTAATATTTTTTATTCTCCTTGGCTAAAATTTCTTTTTTTATCCGAATAAAACTTTTTAGATCTTTTGAATTAGTGAAAATTTCTACTAATTTGATTTGAATTAGTAAATGAATTCTCACTAATTCAAATTTACAAATTATTTTTTTATAATAATTAATAATAATATAATTTATAATAATTATAAAAACATTATTATTAATAGGGGAGAGTAGTCAGGGTTGGACAATGGTCAGGGTTGAGCCATCGCGTTTATTTTGTGTTATCACACTAGAGCCATCTGTCTTTGTATGTAAGTATTTGTTATCAATGTCAGGAAACTTTTCACATACGTTGCAGTGAAGTGTGCGAGCAATAAAGACGTATTATGCGAGTCACTGCTATACGATCAACAAAAAACTTTTTTATTGTTTCAAAAGAAGAGAATTAAGTGCCGAAAAAATATGTCGAAGACAAAGTAACTTAAGTAAAATAGTTCATTATAATATTATATGAAAATGTGGAACGTAATATGGTGTTTAGATCACGCGTTTATTTTTGTGTGTGATGTGACGCTAAACGACGTGTGAGTCAGGGTTGAGCCACCAAAAAAATTTTGCAATTATGAAGGGTTCTTGCAATGGAAATTCATTTGTCGACTTAAAGAGGTGTCAAAACATCATTTCCATTGGAAATAAAGGAAATACAAATTTTCATAATTTTTTTTTTCACTTTTCAGACCAGCTTCGCGATACAAGCGAAAATCTGAAAATTTTACAATAAGGGCTTTTTATTTGAATTTCGTGGTTCCTTTACACATTTCCAAGTGTATTTGAGCGCCATTCTATCATTTTAAGGTCATTATTAATCATTTACCTGTATATTTTATTGATTTTCTACAGTGGCTCAACCCTGACTACCTGGTTTAACCCTGACTACTTTTTTTTTTTTTTTTTTTTTTTTAATTGACTATAACTCCAAAACTTTTGGTCAAATATTTTTACAATGTTCAGCAAAAACATTGCATTTTAGTAGATCTTTCGAACCATATGCGAGAAATCTCAAAATTCGGCCCACAGGGGAAGTTATAGAGAAAAGTTAAAACTATGTCCAACCCTGACTACTTACACTCCCTTACTTATTTTTTACTTGATCATTTATTTATCACAGATAAATTCCTTTTTTTATTTTTTAAAAATATTTTTTTTGAATAAATGTGTTAAATATTTTTTTAAATTATAAATTAGAAAAATAGTGTGAAATAAAATGATTTACATAATTACCTGGAACATTGGCATTTTAAAAGTCGTATAAAGGCAGCTCTGAAAGTCTTATTAAAGACTGTGTAGATTACTGGATTAATTGTAGATGATACATATCCTAACCAAAGGCATGTGACGACTACATGACTTGGCACTGAACATTCTGGACATGCTGCAAAAATGATATTTAGCACAAAAAATGGTGCCCAACATAATACAAATGTGAAGAACACCAGTCCCAATACTTTACTGGCCTTTTGCTCAGTGGCAACAGCATTCGCAGCCAGTGATCTTCTTTTCGTTCTTCCAGGTAAGAACCTTCAACAAAAATGAAAAAAAAAAAATTATTATTTAATCATTTTAAAAAAAATTTAATTATCACAATTACATATTTACAGAAAAAAAAATGTTTTGAACTTTGTAAAATTAAGGATTCTCCAGGGGGTGGTGCGGAGTAAGGGGATAGTTTCTATTCTACCCGTGTGAAGGCTCACAAGTTTGCAACCTTATAAAAAATAAATTTTTATTTGATAAGAAAGGTTCTTGTCCTTATTGATACGAAAATTGTTTAGAAAAAGGTGTATAAATTAATAATAAGCTTTCCTCGTTACTAAAATATTATAAATTCTATTTAATTAAATTTTTTAAAAAGTGCTTGAAATCAGGGCAACGTCGCATTCTCGTCGCGTAGTTTATGTAAGGTTGGTAACACAGATTGGACCTACACCTGATCTGACAGCTAACCTCAAATTTTTTGTTATATGTTATTATTTAATTGTTGAACTTCCATAAAACACTTAAAATTGAAATGAAAATAAGATTATTTACTTATAAGAAATTTGTAATATAAGTCGTTCACCTCAAAATTTGAAAATAAAATGGAAAATATAAATAGTTTATTTATTATATTTTATTTCAATTTGCATGATAATTAGTAAACAAATATCCAATTAAATAAAACTGTGATTGTAGTAGTTTTGAACTATATTTTATTTTGACAAAAATATTTAATTATAATTTGAGGTTATGTTCGTGTATTTTTATCACTCTTTTTGTTTTCCAATAATTAATCAGAATTAAATTTATATAATATATTAAATTGCAGTTTAATCCATTATTTTCTAAAAATAATATAAAAAAATATCTATCAATTTGTCGACTTGCATTTGAAATTCGCGGCGAGTTGCTGCGCAAACGTGCCAAACACGTGTTGCGACGTTGCCACATTTTCATGTCTGCTACACTTACTATTATTATTATGACAAAAAATGAAACTTTATTATTTATTTACTCAAAAACTATGTGGTAAACTTTCTTTATATTGTGCAGTTAATAAATTTATCATATTTTCTTCCTGTATACCAACTTTCAGATTTTTGTGTCATTTCCATCAGATTACACTTTTTTCCTATGGTTTATACATAAAAGCCCATGTTAAATTGGTCATATATATATATTTTTTTTTCTAAAAAACTACGTGGTAAAAAATTCTGAAAAAAATCATAACTTCCTAAATCAATCTAATGAACAAACTGTCAAAATTTGGTAAGTCTGTGTCATTTCCTTACTCTCTTAATTTGAATCAGTGAAATAGCTAGAAGTCGGTTACTGAATCATTTAGTGAAATTTTCACTGGAAATCAGTGATATATGACTGATTTTCAGTGAAAATTTCACTAAATGATTCAGTAACCGACTTCTAGCTATTTCACCAGTGAAATTTCACTGATTCAAATTAAGAGAGTATATTGCCAGGGAGAATCCTTAAGTTTAATAATCCTATACATTATATTAAAGTTGTAAACGACTGATTGGGCGTTTTCGGCAGATGCTCCGGAGTGCTCTGGAGCATTTTTTGATTGACTGGATCCAATAGAATTAATAGGTGATTGGACCAAAAAATTCTCCGGAGTATTCCTGGAGCATCTGCCGAAAACGTCTATTGTAACACAAAAATTTATCTTTTTTTTAATAGGGCTGAAGTCCGCAACGTTTTCAGAAACGAAAAATTAAAATAGAATTATTTTTTCAAGACAATTTATTTCTAATTTTGATTTGCACAAACTTTCAAGAAATTAATACTTTTATAGTAGCCAGTTACCGCCGAATAAATAATTAAAAAATTAATTTTTTTAAAAACGCATTTCAGAAATGTTTTTAATTCAATAGATTTTGAAAAAAAAAAATTTTTAATTTGAAAAGTCAGTTTTAGGTGGCCCAGTTGAGAAATTTTCACCCAACAGTTAAAATTTTTTAGATTTTTGTAAAAACATTTTCTATGTTAAAAAACTTTCTTTTTGTAGAAATTAATATTTTTTTTTTTATTATGATTTTTCACGAGTATTCGCGAAAACAATATTTTTTTTTTGTATTTTTAATGGTTTTTTCTTTTAAATAATCAAAATATTTTGTGTAAAGTTTGTATAAAATAGGGCCTACTTCATAATGTTACATAAGTCTGTTTCATAAAAAAAAAATTTCTTTTTAATTTCCAAAGTATTTCTGTGACTTTTGCAAAATTACATTTTTTTTGCTGTTTTTGTTTTCTTTAAATCGAATAAAATTCAAACAAAGCACTAAAAAATAAAAAAATTGTTTTGAATTAAAAACAGAAGTAAAACCGAATTAAAATTGTGAAATAAAAATAAAAAATGAGACAATAAAACTAAAAAGAAAAAAAAAACTTCATATAATATGCTTAGTATGTAAACGAAGAAAAAATATACAAAACACTATTGTAAATTTTGAACTCGATACAAATATTATTAACCACGTGAAGAACAAGAGAAATATAAATATCGATGTATATACATATATATATATATATTATATTCAAAATTACTTAAGATGATTGATGTTCAAATTATTTTCCAGAAAATTGAAACGATATATCCCTTTCTATCATTTGATTGAAGAAATGATTTGCAGATTTAGAGTTTTCTAATTTATTTCATTTCTAAAATATCAATGTTAGAAAAATATATTTTCATTATATATTCTAAAAATTATTTAATAAAAATTTTTTTTTTTTAATTTTTCTTCACTAAATTTGAAGCATATATTGCGTTAATATGTATTTAATATATATATAAATTTCTTAAGTGATCCATTAGCAAAAATGGGAACATTGGATTTTTTGAAAAATCATAACTATTGTATAAAAGAATGTAAAAAATTATAACCTAAAGGTTTTCGAAAGGTTTACTCCAGCTATTTCGAATGGTGCAAATTTTTTTTTAAATTCAAAATTTACCCATTTCTTGAAAATCAAAAATATTTTTGAATTTTTTTTTAAAAAGGACCCTTTTTACTTGTTTTTGAGATATTAATTAATTAATTTAATTAATTAATTAATTAATTTTTTTAATTTGTATATTGAAAGTATACTTTTTTTAAGCTTCATTTTAAAAGGGTAAAATAAAAAATAAAGGATCCTTTTAAAAATAGTATATTGTGCATCTAGGGAGGAAAATGGTTGATTTCCACGAGTGGAAATCATTTTCCTCCCGAGTTGCACATACTATTTTTTCTAACACACGTATACCGAAAGTACAAACGTGGTAGTGTGGATACTATTGATGATGGTATGGTTGTTACTGGTAGCAGTATAGTTACTACTGGTGGTGTACCAGATGTTTGAGATTCACTATTACTCATACTTTGATTAATATTTAATACCTAATAATAACATCACCAGGAGGGAAAGTTACTTTTCCTCCCGCTTTAGTGACGTCACCGGGAGGGAATGTAACTTTCCCTCCCACTAGTCGGAAAAGACATACTTTTCTCCCGCTACACAGGTAAGAAATGGTATTTTTAATTTTCAAAAAAGACGTAAATTGGAAATTTTTTATAAAAAAAATTTTGCACTATTCGGAAAAGTAGAAAAAACCTTTTCGAAACAGATAAAAAATTTTTTCACCCTTTTATACAATTTTAATCCTCTTCATTTAATTTTGCTTCATATATAAAATATATTATATATACTCGTGCGAATTTTTTCAATTAAATAGATGCAATAAATCGATTGACAACAATTTTTGAGTATGTAAAATGTGCAGAAAAAAAAAATTATGCATTTTACATTGAAAAGTGATGGATGAGTTGACTGTCATGTGGACACGAGAAAATTTCACGACAGAAAGAAGAGGTATAAAAATATAGGAAAATATGTGCGATAAAATGATTGGCTTTTACGATTTATCGTAAAAATAAAATTTGAGACATGGTGGATTTAGATGACAGTCATATTAACTTTTTGAGGTCACATCAGGCAAGCAAAAAAAAAAAAATATTTTTTTCCCGATATATAGAAAGTATAAAATAGTTTTAAGAAAAAGAAAAATTTTTTCATCATAATGTTATGAATAAATTTAGAATTTTAAAAAAATAGTACTCGTAAAAAAATAAGTTTATACAATTAATTGATTGCGCTAAAAATGTTTTTCTTGATATATAGAGAAGTGCGTTATTTTTACATAAAAGTAGTAGTCGTGGTTCGAAAACCAATTTGTATTCCATTCAAATGAATCCGCGAGTATCAAGATCCTTGATAAAAAAGAGTAGCTCAATAAAACAGATATTGCTTCTTTCTTTTTTTTTTTTGGTAATTTTTTCTTTCAATTAAAACTCGAGTTACGTGCACTCTTCGACGTTATAACAAAAGAGGACATTTTTTTTTTTTACTTTTTCATCATTCATTATTCCAATTTTTATTTTCCTTTGATTATTATCAATCCTTATAATTTTTATTGACTTCTATTTTTAATCTATTTGTAAATATTTTTTACGGAGGGTAGGTATTACAAGCTATCTAAAAGTATTAAGATTATTCTAAAATGTGATAAAATACTTTTTTTGAGAATCTTTGGATTCAAAAACAGTTTTTTTCAAAAATTTTTTACTGTCCCCTTTTTTGAGAATTTAATTAATAAAGTTGCGGATATTTTTATACGCACTTTTATAGAAACGGTTGCTATGATAACTGTTACCATGGTAATGGTTGCTATGGAAGCGGTTTCTATGGTAACTGTTACCATGGCAACCATACGAGTGTACGGCGGACGAACGGACGCCAAAGCGAAATTATAAGGCTTTCGGACCTGAGCCACGAAACCCTAAAAAACTACTCTAGTGAAGTTTGAAATTTTTAGCATTTTTAGGAATAAAAATAAAATAAGTTGACAGTTTCAATTTTGAGAAATATCCTGTGTAGAAAAATATCGTGGCGCTAGGATGGCACCATCCTAGGTTTCCGTGACATTTGTCACAATTTTGTATTCTAGCCACTAGCTAGTATTGCGGGAATGGTGATGTTTA